AAGTTAGATTTCTCAAAAACTTGGAAAAGCAAAATTTCCATCATTTGCAGTATTTCTTAGACATGCTTCGAAAAGCATCAGGTTTTGGCTCTACCACGAAACCCACTCAATCTGTGCGATTTAATTTTTGTGTAAGCAGAGAAAAACGAAACAAAAAAAACGATAAATAAACGTAAACGCACAAAGGCAGAAACATAAACTGGAAATGTTGAAGATATTTACCACCTGCAAGCAGAAGATTTATGTAGATAAAACCTACGTAAGACGATGCGGCAACAACCTTGCACGAGGCGACTTTTCATGATAATGGCGACATAGTATACTGAACCTCGACCGGGGGGAACATTTGCCTCGTTATTTTATGGATGTTGCTCAAGGATCGCATATGATGTAGTCATGTGACTTATGCGAAAACATCGTCTTGAGACTGTTGTCACTCGTGATGGTCTGTTTATAGTCTGGAATTTGTCCTTAGGCGACAGCTATGCGCGAAAAAAATTCGAGACGGCTCGGTACAAATGAAAACATGTCTCATATGGAAATACACAGGGGGCGTGTCCGCCTCTCGTCTGGCTTCTCCTCGTCTACCATCTGCTATCGTTTAGGGAAAGTGCACGAATTCATCCTTTTATACGTAGTGATCGCGACTTAGACGGCCCTTTGGTGGTCATTTTGTAGAACTTGCTTCGATCAAAATTTTTCAGCTACCCTAAAAATCGGATCTTTTCCAGAGGATTTCTACTGACCTCCAACTTAATTTTTGTATAGCAGACACATAGTAGTACTCAAAAATGTTTTTGGTTTTTTCCAGCTCAATGTTGAGGAACAAAGATGTTCCAAAAATGCCAAAATGCCACTTTTTTCGGGCTTTTCATGTAAAATTTGGTATTTCTCGATTATAAGAGCACATACAGGGGTAAAGTTTCAAGATTATACTTAGTAAGGCTTGTAGTATACAATGACATCTGGGGGCGGAGTTTGCTACATTACACTATCTCTTTTTTTTCTCGCTTGCTAAGCTCGGAAAAAATCCAGTAAAGGCATATTTGAAAACTACTGTGTGTCTATTGTATAATGACCAAGAGTTACTTACGATTATTTTTCGCAAAAATCCAATTTATACACGATTCATGACAAGCAAAGACCGGGCGCCATTGCGTCCGGACAAGATAGTTTGTGTATGGGAGAGATAGCAGATGATAAGAAAGCGAAAGAGCGCTCGATTAGTGAGACGCCGATATGTCCACAGTCTTTGCGTGCTCGCCTGTAGGCATTATATCAGGTTGTCCCATAAGTTCCGTCCGTTTCAACTTTCAATCACAATAAGTCATGAACTTCTTGGTTTTAGACAGGCGTCAAGGTACCATTTGATAGAGCAAAGCAAGCTCTACAAGATAACTCTCTTGCTTTCGCACTAGTTTGAATCCATCTCAAGTTTGAAGCCAAAAACCAAAAAGATCCAACCGCCCGAAAAATAAAGAAAAAATCGTAACTTCGTTTAGAAAAATCCTCGAAAATTCCTAACTTGCTCACAGATACCCTATCCACATCAGACGTTTATATATACTGTTGCTGTATTTTTTACTTAGATAGAAATCGAAAGAACGAAAATTTTCATGTTTTTGCCAAGGTGATGCTGTGCTGTTCTCACACAAGTAGTTGTATACTACAGACCAGTACAAGTACAGACACAAATTTTCAGCGCTTTAAAGGCTTTAGTTCTCGGGAAATAATCGTTTTAAGACGAAACACCCGACTGTACGAAGCTAAATTCAATGTTTCTCGAGAACTAAAGCCTTTAGAGCGCTGAAAATTTGTGTCTGTACTTGTACTGGTCTGTAGTATACAACTACTTGTGTGAGAACAGCACAGCATCACTTTGGCAAAAACATGAAAAATTTCGTTTTCTCGATTTCTATTTAAGTAAAAAATACAGCAACAGTATATATAAACGTCTGATGTGGATAGGGTATCTGTGAGCAAGTTAGGAATTTTCTAGGATTTTTCTAAACGAAGTTACGATTTTTTCTTTGTTTTTCGGGCCGTTGGATCTTTTTGGTTTTTGGCTTCAAACTTGAGATGGATTTAAACTGGTGCGAATGCAAGAAAGTTATCTTGTAGAGCTTGCTTTGCTCTATCAAATGGTACCTTGGAATCTGTCTAAAACCAAGAAGTTCATGACTTATTGCGATTGAAAATTGAAACGGACGGAACTTATGGGACAACCTGATACTTGGGTAATTTGAAAATTTTTCATCGAATGAATGAATATCGAATAAATTCGAAAATGAAAAATTTCGAATAAACGAATATCGAATAAATTCGAAAATGAAAAAAACCCGAATAAACGAATATCGAATAAATTCGAAAATGAAAAAAACTCGAATGAATGAATTTCGAATAAATTCGGAAAATCAAGAATATCGAATGAATGAATATCGAATATATTCGAACATTGGGAGTCGAATTTCGAATAGATATTCGAATGATTTTTTGAATAACTACTGCAACACATCTAAAACTTGCTGACATTTCTGGCTAAACCGATTCATTCATAATCAGCACCCTCATATTCCCTACACCAACTTCTAGCTCAAGCTTTTCCAGAAATCGGTGAAATCGATAAACAAAAATTTTGTTTATATCAGCACTCTCACTTACCCCCCCCCCCCGTACAAAGTCCCAGCTCCGTAGCTCAAAGTTCCCCAGAAATCGATAAAATCGATAAAAAAATTTTATTCATAATCAGCACCCTCACTTACCCCCCTGTACCAATTCCCAGCTCCGTAGCTCAAAGTTTCTCAAAAATCGATAAAATCGATAAACTCTCGACTCTTTGCTTTGTAATGCTTTTTTCTAATTAAATCAATGAAGTTCACTTTGATCTACTTCGACATTCAGAAAGATTCGAGACTGAATTAGAGATTTTCTTAAAAGGCCTGTTCAGAGGCATGTCAGATTCATAGCAAAATTAAGGTTAGTAGCCAGCTGTCTGGATTCATTCAAATGAACAAATGGGATTTCATGGGAAATCAGTACAAGTTGTTTTTGAGAATAGATTAAAAATTAGTACAAAAATAATCATCAGCGATTTCCACTGATCTATTGGTATTCAGTAGTAACATGCAGTGCTTCTTCATGATCCTTGCGCGTTATGCACCGTAGGGTAACCGCATTTGTGCATTTTGATCCTGCCGCTTTGTTCGACAGCAGACCTCACTTGTCAGGCGTCCACTACATTTCAAGGGCAGCTTAGCAGAGTAGCAGCAAATGAAATTGGCTGGAGCTGAAATTTAAAAATGAGGCTTGCACACGCTATACATCTGTGGTTAGCTGGCGTTACATCTGAAGACATCTGTAACTCATTGATCGAAAAAGCATTAATTAAAATCCACATTTATTTTTTTAATGTCGCAAGCAGTCGGAGGACTGCGACTTTCCATACAGTTCAAAGGTCGTTACGGTTGCAAAAAAGATGCATTACCTGGTCTTGTAAAAAAATACGAAAACGAAGCGAGCTTGGTACTCACAGTTGGCTCTGCAACAAACTCGAATAATTTGTATACGGAGTTCATTCGAATACGAATTCGAATAAACATTCGAATAAAACATTCGAGTAAAATCTATTCGAAAACCCGTTTTTCGATTATTCGAGTTTTCGAATATTATTCGAATCCTCGTTTTTGATTATTCGAGTTTTCGAATTTTATTCGAAATCCTGTTTTTTGATTATTCGATTTTCGAATTTTATTCGAAACCCCGTCTACTCAATTATTCGAATTTCGAATATTATTCGAAAATGGAAAAACTCCGAATATCGAATTTTCGAATCGAATTTATTCGAATGTTTTATTCGAATGATCGAATTTCTATTCGATTCGGACCCAAGTATAGTAGGCATTAAATTTTTTTTTCGACTTTTGCTCCAAACTTTACTTGAATCACGATATAGGCTGATCTCTCCGGTCACTTTGTAGAGCTTGTTTCGCTCTATCGAATGGTGTGCCACTATAGGGCAACTATAACTGGGAGATAACACAACACATCGCTATGAACGTTTATTGTGACACTGAGGAAGCTTACAACAGAAGAGCCCCGTTGACCCCCGAACCCGCCCGCTTTACTGCGGGATGATTAATGTATAGGTCGGTTCGGCCACAATACGTAGCAAATGGCCGAACAAATGGTACCCCATGCCAGGAGAACAAAAACAGTTTGATTTATCCAAAACACGGTTAGTTGCTAGAATAAAAGTCACTTGCACATTTTTATAACCTATGTAAGTAGATTTCAAAAATTTCGCGACCCATTCTCGGGGGCACTCAATGTCGCCTACGACAAGCCCTTTGCGTTCTAGGACCCGGCGGTTCCAGGCGCCCCGAGCTTCGATGTTCAAAGCGAGACGAATAACCTGTATGTGACTCATGTGGTTCGACTTTTCATACTCTTGAGAAGACGTAACCACTGTGCAATAAATATCTGTACCAGTTCTGGTTATCTACTCAAAATCAGTCAATCAAGTTCATTAGTAATTCTAAAGTTGTGCAGTCTGCCACATTTGCATTTGTGTTATAGCAAGAACATATAATCCACTCCTCGACTGGATACGGTCTAACTTTTGTCTCTGGAGCTACGTAAAGCATCCGTTCAACTCAACTAACGAGAAAAAACCATCACCCTCAATGACAACGGTTTACGATGTTTGATGATGCATGGACTCTGGCGCAAATAATCCTACGGTCATTGCGGAATAGTGTAGTCGTAGAAATTCAAAGCGAATCTGGTTGCACCGTTTACACGCAACTTTGCGTCGGTGTCTGCACTCGATTGGCACGGGAGCTGTGCGCGGCTAGGACTTTGACCGATATTGATAGTGTTGCTGTTTGACCTTTGCTGTTGTAATTGTAATGCTTAGTTCGATGTATTTACAGCTTCTTTTGGCCATTTTTCTACATAAGTCATATCTTCTACATGGCACTCTTTCTCCATATAAAACTTTAAAAATTTGTGTTGCAGATGAGCACCAAGGAGAGGTGCTCCTTATGCGGAGGTGGTCCATTTTTTCCTTCTCATTTACGCGAACATTTACGTCGTGTACATCATCATGAAAAAGGGACCGATGAGAAAAATAATGAGACTCTTGATAATATGCAACTTTCTGGTAAGATCGATCATGTTTATACACTTTATACCACAAAGCAGCAACAAGATCTACAGAGAATAGTAAGTATAGTCTGTAACCAGTCTTTTCGAAAAGAAAATTCTTTTGTAGAATGCAAGTATTTTGAATGCGATAATGGCGAGCAAACCCACACCGAATATGGCTTGCCCAACTTGTGCGCAGGAATTTCTGAACAAGTCGGATTTGGCACTACATTACATTGAGTCACATAATCGTGAATATTCACTGCCAATTGAGAGGGAAATGGGATTTAACGCAAGAATGCAATGTGAGTCCTGGGACTTCTTTCGTCCTCTTTATGCTTGCTGTTCAAATTGTTATCGAAATACCTTTGTTTCGAAAAAAATGACTACAGTTGCTTTCTGTAATTTCATTATTACCTATTTACGACAATTTCATCCACTATTTGAAACCTTTATCTATTAGAATTTTCCGAAGATTTTCTTGTACTTTTGAGCAAAAATGTGTAATGTAAGAGGAGCTTGCGTACTAGCATCTCTCCCAGATTTGGCGTAAAATTTGATGCTTAGTGCAGTCGCAAATGCCGACGGTCGTCACCGAAAGCGGCCCTCTGTGTTAGCGACGTTCAACTCAAAGTTCATTTATTTGAAAAGCACTTTTTGTTTCAAACAATGCAAGGTTTCGGGACTTTGAAGTTTTTTTTTTCTCAGAATAGCATCGCATATTCGAACATCTCATTGTCATCTCAAAGTGTTTGAGCGATGAATCAATCAAACCAGTTAAGACATCCAATAACATCTACGAACATCTCAATCCTCCACTGCAAAGCCTGTTTCCCGTATTTTTTGCTATGTATCAAAAACCGCCATCTAGGAATTTTCACGCCGCCAACCCTATGGCTAGAGAGAAGCATAGAAACGGCAGACATACGGTAGAAAACAAAAATTTCGATCAGCCCTTAGCAATATGGAAATTAAACACTTTTGTGCTTTTGTAGGTGTTTCTAAATCATCCCATTATTTAGCTTTTTTTCACATCCTTCATTGAAAAACTCTACGATTATTGCTACCCCTCTGTGTCTCTGACGTGCGGCAATCATGTTGTTAACACGTTTCGGACCGGTGCTGCACATGGTGCAGCACGCGCTTTTCAATGGTCTTTTTAATGTTTGCAGGAGGTTTCCTTCTTGTCCAAGGTTATCAAGTCAAAGGCCTAAGCTCCTCCTTTTCAAATGACTCTGTAAGGCTGTTCCGCCGATATTTGTTTAGAAGATATGAGGACAATTCGAACAACAGTTGCAACGAAGTGCGGCAACGCGAACGACGCGTGCGACGTCGTAACTTTTCTTTGCTTCGAATTCAAAGAGAAAAACCGTAGCTCCAGTAGTGATGTGTATCATGTACAACATAGATACTTTTGGATACAATTAGAAACTGAGTTCTTGTTCCTATCTTTCAGGAAAGCACAGATGTCCTTCTCAGGCGACAAAATTCAAACATTTCAAATTCACTCAGAACTTTGGGTATGGATCTTATCTGATATGCTGAATACAGATGTGACACACAGTTTAGGAATTAAGGTCCCTTTGTTGGCTAACGGCTGAAAGTACCCTCTTTTTCGCCGCGCGCGATTTCGCGGTCCGAAACGTGTTAACATGTTAGCAACAAACAACTTTCTGGCTATTAGCTTTAGAGGCAACATGTTGTTGCATGTTGCACCGTATTAGTCCTGCGTGACACAGGCCACAGATACGGAGCAGGGGTAGTAGTAATCATGATTTGTACAAAATTAGTCAGTTGTGAAGCTATTTTTCCAGCCTCCCTCACAAACACCAACCAACAAGTCAATGCCGACGTAGATGAATCTAAGCGGGAAGTACATGCAAATGACCTTCTTGGATGCGAGCAAGGAGCAGATGAATCCATGGGTGATGGTGGGCAAAATGATGCCACGCAGGAGTTTCAAAACCATGAAACTATGCCCAAAACGGTTGTGAATGCTGGAAGTAGAAAAATTATCAAGGTCTTCAAAGGTCCCGAAATTAGGATGAGAACAGTGCTTGAAACTCCGGAAGAACGAGCAAGGCGTTTACAGCAAGAAGTAGAAAGAAATCAGCGTTTGCAACAAGAATTAGAGAGAAATCGAAGTGTTGTGGAAAGTGAAGAGGAAAGAGCAGCACGTCTACGAAGAAACGCGGAAAGGTCAAAGATGAGATTGTCCGAAGATGGCCAAGAGCGGGAAAGAAAAAGGGAGCGACTGGAGTATGACGAGCAACAACAGGGAACTCGCAAAAAATCGGAAGTGGGTTTTCTAGCATTTAGCCTCTTGTGCTAATGATGTAATTTTTCGATTTCTTTTGTTTCTTTTTTGGGGTTACCATTAGCGATTTTTTTATCCAGTGTCAAAAAATGTAGTTATGGTTACAGTTCAGCGTGCGGCATTGGAATCCTAAGGCAGGCGCTAGATTCATCTCAGCCGCTAAGCCTCTTCATGAGTGGTCAAATTGGACCAGTCATAAAGCGACTATAAATCTAGGGCCCTTCTAAATCAGGCGGAGCATCACGCTAAAGCGCCAGCATATTGGCACACTAAGGGCAACAATAAATATGTGTATGATGGAACCCTTAGTATAGTACCCATCTTTGCAAGCTAGTCTACTACGATGCCAAACGCGCCGCTCATTTGATTTCGCATTTTGAATACTATGTATTTCCATCGTTTTTAAATTTCAGTTGGTGTAAGGTGAGAGTATTGACAAGGGAAGGATTCCGAGTTGCCGTGATCATCAAAGATGAGATGCATACGTAACTGCTCGAATCAGGATGCTAAACCTAGAAAGGCATTGTCCAGATCAATTTGGGGGAGGCGGGAGGGGGGGGGGGGTGGGATTTTGACGCGTGCGGGAGCACGGCTCCTGACTAATGCAACAGTTCAAGTCCGATTGAAAAAGGTGGGTTCTGAAACGAGAAAATCGCTCCACAAAAAAGAGGCGGTCCGCCAATCCCGCCTCCTTGGTAAGTTTTGACGTGGCGAATTTGTAGATCTAATGTAAACCATGTCAAAACTTGTCAAGGAGGCGGAATTGGCGGAACGCCTCTTTTTTGTGGAGCGATTTTCTCGTTTCAGAACCCACCTTTTTCAATCGGACTTGCACTGTTGCATTAGTCAGGAGCCGTGCTCCCGCACTGCGTCAAAATCCTACCACCTCTTTGTCCTGGACAATGCTTTTAAGTAAAAAAAGATTGGAGATTCCAACAGCGGGCGCCGAGACAAAGCGATCCTAAAGATATGCTGTTGTATGCGGGCTAGGTGAGTGATGAGGAGTGGTCCCATCTTTCAATTGGGATCTTGGGTTTGGATCCTGTGTGGTGAGGGTCCATTTGCATTTTTCACAATACCTTGTTTCTTTGCAGTTTAGGCTGCTAGTATGCTATTTCTGAAACAGTCAAAGATTTTAGACGCAATCGTGCATTTTTTGCAGTATTTTTCTAAACTGGAACTTTATAGTGCTTAAATATGTTTAGACTTTTTTGAAAATAAGCATATTACCGGCCTAAATTGCTTTTTGAAGAAAATAGAAGATTGTGAAAGAATAGAAGTTCTACTATAGAAGACTCGATAGGCCTCAAATTTTGATGGAATCACTCACTACTACATGAAAGTTGTACGCAACAGCTTATCTGGGCGTCGATTCTACCTCGGCGCTTGCAACTGGGACTTCGAACGCTCTGAATATATTTTTTGATTCATTTAACAGACATGCAGATGTGGAGTAGACTTTTCACTGGATTGATATGCATCTCATCTCGGATGATCACAGGGCACGGGATCCTTCTCTTGTAACAATAGCAGCTGTTTTAGAAAGTTATACGTCGTTCTGAAGCGTTTTGGCTGAATCGAATTCGCCAATCCATGAACTTTAAGATCCTGAAATCATCTACGCTGTTTTCTGCTATTTCTGCAGAGATGATAAATGTGAAGGATTTCGTCGCATCTGAACATTCAGCCAGTGCAAACAAGTCAGTTTGACTTCCTAATTTGTATTAATTGTACGCAGTACTTGTAAGTGTTGGAGTTCATTTTAGGGGACCTCTTTGTTATGCTATCGTCGGTATCAACTCAGTTGCACAACGAACTATATTTTCGAGACTTATGGTTGGTTTACGACAAATTGCGATGCTTTTTGAACTGGAATATTCTAGAGAAGATTCGAGTTTGATGATATTGGCTTCGTGAGTAACCCTGCTGCTGAAAAGGTATGGTGGAAGGTTAGAGAGTTTTGGGTACACCCTTTCTTCTTCCTAATTGGTTGTTTTTTCCCAGACCACTGCTTCTGTCACCGAAGGGACTTTATCAGCATGTAGCTTGCAAAAAGCAGAAACTGCTTTACCATATGATGATGACGTAATAATGCTGGATAGTGGTGAGTTTGGTGCTTTGATGAACTTTCCGTTTGGTTTGGTTTGCTTGCGGTGCCGAGAAGATGCGGCAAAGTTTGTGCGTGAACAAATAGCTACGCCAGTAATGCCGGCATTTTGCGCCAGCAAGTGGCCGGTGTCGGAGTCACAGCTATCTGTTCGAGCGCAAATTTTACCGCATTTTCTCGGCAGCGCAAGCACATTATATAATATTAAATGGTAGATTTACTCATAGCTTAGTGTTTTTATTTCTGGTTTAGGGGATGATGACGATTCCGTTGTCTCACGGCCTTCAACTTCTCAACAGCATAAATCAGTTCCGAAAGCCGATGGAGAGAATGTATCTCGAGAGCAAAGAGGTACATAAAACAAGATTTGTTCTGTAGTTGTTCTGCTTGTACCTGCTTGTCACGAAAGTGGAATGCCGGATGAGAATTCACTCTCGTTAGAGCCAGGTATTAGGTTGATGCAAAATCAGTGCATGTTGCTTATTCTTGAGCGCAGAAAACGTATAGTCCATTAAATATATCATTCGATAGAGTAGCAAGTCTCACAAGATGGTTCAAACAGTCTTGGAAAGTTTGATACACGGAAAGTTAGGAAGGAAAATCTAAAATTTTCAAAAGGCCCAAAATCGGATCTCTTTTCAGAGGAATTCTATTCCAACTTGGTCATGAAAATTACTTATCGCATCAGCGCATATGTACACTTGCTGTAATTTTTCCTTGGTTAGAAGATAATAGAATTTGGCATGTTTTGCTAAATCAATGTTATGTTGTCCTGATAGGTCATTCCATATCGCAAACCTTGTAAAATGTAACAGTAAATTTTCATTTGAAACCATAGCTGTCGAGAAATATCAATTTTAGCATAAAAAATCTGAGAAAGGCGATAATTCGAATTTTTGCCTATTTTTTTTTATTTTTTCAATTTCCAGTCACGAAAAATACGGCAAGCGTACAAATTATTATCTCTTGTGTATAGTATATGCTTGACCAAGTTAGGAGCTCGAAGGATCTTTCTACACGGAAATCTGATTTTTGGGTATTCAAATTTCTTGATTCCACAAACTTTATCCAGATCGAATCTTTTGCGGTTGTTGAGTATTTTGTAGAGCTTGTTTTACTCTATCAAATGATCTATTTTATACATCCCCATATCCTCTGCTAAAGGATAAGGAACGTGCATCAATCTTGCATTAACCTAATATTAAGCAAAATCAAGGGTGCGCTGTACATATCTTGTGATCCAGACGTGTCCCGATCAGATTTGGATCAAAGCTATAGCAGTAGCGTCAGAGCGTTTAAAAATGGTATGTACTATATGTCCTTGTTTAGATTCGCCGTACGGGTCCAATACAAACATGCCGAGATATCAAAGGCAACACTTGCCACAGGCATCTGAACGATTCATGCAATCGCTACCAGATGCCAACGAACCTGTGCAGTCAAGCACAGGAAAAAACGCTCAAAGGTCTTCTGCACATAGATACATGGCGCATGTTGAAACATCTAAGTTCAGGCCGAGAGGAACGTACGTGAATCCTATCACTAGTCGAATTCGGCAAAATTTCGCTGACCGTTCCAGGAAGTATACCTGCCATATTTGCTCAGCTATGAGAGCTCCTCATGAAATCCGATACTCCTCACGTAAAATGCACCAGAATATTGTGCTGCTGACTTGTATGAAAGCTCTCAAACTTATAAGCTCGATTTCGGCTAGATGCATGTACAAGGATATCCTGCGCAATAGGAAGCGTATATGCCATGAACATTATGTGCAGGCGGTAAGTTAAAATCTACTTGATTTGGGTATTCTTAATTTCCTAATCTTAAGCGGGGCGGACTTATCCATCCCTACATCGGTTTAATGCCCGTTTAGTAACCTGTTGAGGAGAGGAGCACGCTAGCAGCGCGAGCGGGTGTAATAAGTAATCAGTAATCGAGAGATCTTATTTTTGGCTCAATGAAAACACATATCAAACTGTATAAACTGGAAGGCTGATCTGGATCACAACATTTTCATTTTCATTTTCATTTGTACGCTCAAAGCGTTCCATAAAAATCACAATGAGAAGTTAGTAATACAATAAACAATAAATGTAAACAAAAGCAGACATCATTATGACGTCCGAGTCTAATCCTAGTCAGACTAATGTAAGAAAGATGAAACGACTTGTACTGAATATGTTGGTAGGCCAATAGATATGTTTACAAGTGTAGGCATTGCGTGTAAGGTGAAACACGCCCGAATAGCAAGCTTAAAATTGATAAATACTGCCCCAGGCACCATTTGACCGTTATAGATGAGCGCCTGATCCGGTGAGGTACGAAGATTGGTAGATACCTCACCTGGTCACAATCCTTTGGGGACATCGTCCACGCAGACTGAGAGTTATGAAATTTGGATGTCATATAATGGAGGGACCCCTAACTGAGCCATCGCTCAGGTCTCGCTGCAAAAAATGAACTCCGCAAGAAAACCTCCAGTAGGTAGAAGCGCCAGGTTGCTCCGCCCTCCAACGTGGGTGGTATATAAAGAGTCCACAGTCGGGCTTTAGAATTGATAGAAACGTCGAAAATGTGATATTGATAATGAAGAGCGAATTTATGACCTCTAGATGCTAAAGCAGATTTCGTCCTTTCATTTCAGACCGCTCACGTTGGTGGGCGGAGCCAGCGGGCACTTTCACCTTCTGTAGCGGCTCTCTCTTCGGAGTTAATCTTTTGCAGCGAGCTTTGGACAATGTCTTGTTAGGGGCCTCTCCATTATGTAAACTAGAATCCCATCACCTTCAATTTGGCTCCCTTTTAGCATTTACTATTGTCCATTGCCGCTAGAGGTGGCTAATAACTGTTTCTGCTTTGAAAATAGTTGGGATAAAAAAGGGAGGGGCTTGGAACAGATTTTGACTTGCTCTTTTTTCGCTTAGTAATGTGCTTGACTGCTCTTTTCTCTTGAGGCTAGTTGGGTTTTTCTTCCCTATTTTTTGAATAGGCATCGAGCCCTGCAGAAACGAGCGAGCGGATAGCGAAGAATAAGATAACATCTTTATGATTTTACTTTTCCTCCATTTTTGATATCTCCCATTATAGGCAAGCTTCATTGCAAAATATGTGCAGAATATGTGGCAACAGTTTCCTTATGAAGGAATCGGTGCTATGCCGCGCAACCTGAAGGAGAACCTGTTGACGTACATTCAAGTTAATGAGGATATCGATGTGAGCTTTGAGCCACGTTTGGTAATATTTAATATTAAATTTGTTTTAGACAGATGTCACTCTGAGTTTCAATGACATCGCACAATTTTTCCACGATTGTTTGGCAAAATATCGTGAGGAGGAAACTGGCATCTGGAGTGTAGATGAGTATTACCGGAAGATTGCAGCAAAAGAAGGCATGATGAGAATGCTAAAGATTGTGAGTTTTAGTTTGCTTCTCAATTCTTATGATCAAGAAACGCGTAAAATTAGCCCGTTACATTTCGCTGCTAGCTTTTTGGAGGAAGCAAGAATTTTTACCTTTTGAGCTGCATATATCAGTTTCGAATGAGGGATTGGGCGTTAGCCAAGCCTCCGGAATATTTCTGGGAGTTTCTCGATTTGCGGATCTATGATCCAGAAATTTTATTTTTTTTTTGGTCGGTTGCTTTATCAAGTCCTGTAAGTGTTTCCCCTTCGGTGTCTCACACTCTGGAAAAGAACCCTCAAATCACGTCCGGTCACTTATATGTATACAGCATGTTTCTTCAAGCACTGGCTCATCCAAGAACCGCAATCGCTACTCAAAGGCCTGGGAATAGGTTACAATCGCATTGGTGAATCTCTTTTCATAGCTAATCTGAATTTTCACTAGAAGCGAGTGATTGCGCAATTTTAACACATGTATTTTCGAGTGAAGGGGCGTGGCATTAGCCATCCTTCCAGAATTTTTTTGGGATGTTCTTTGCAGTTTTCTACGGACCCATGAATTATACGAACATTGGACGTGAAGGCTTACTATGCTGTTAGTATCAGGACTTAGCGAACAACATGCCAGCTGTTTGTTTATGATCTCTAAATCGTACTCTTTATAGGCTGAAGAGGACGACAATGGATGCGAAGGGCAATCAGAAGATTACAGCTACTTGAAAAGCTATGGCCATTTGGATGGCGGCGATTTGGGCGAGGAAAGACAGGCTGTAAATTTTTACTCATCATCTTTTAAGCTTCCACGATCTTCAAAATCGCTTGTTGACATGCGCTATCCATATGACCTCAAGTGGTTGTTTCAGCATGGTGAGGAGAGTGGATTCAACATGAACTGCGGGCAATCAGAGAAAATAAGGCAGGAAGAAGTGAATGATTTTGCTGAATTTGAAAAAACTCTTCAGCGAAGAAACGACACCGTGAGTGTCTGCTACTTTTATGGCATACAGCTTGATATTTTCCTGTCTTTGCTTTTACTCGTTCGCCTATTAAGGCTGTTTTGACTCTAACTGAACGCGTCGTGTCTTCAACATCGACTTGCGCTAGCGGTGATATCAAGGTGGCCAGCCTCGTTTGATAGTTTTTCCATGAATTCTTCATATTTCGAACTGCTGAGTTTTTGGAAAAGTATTCTCTAAAGTTGATAAGATTACATTAAAAGGAGACTGCGAGCTTGTTGTCTCCTATGAAGCTTGTAGCGCTTAGGGACCTAACGCGTTCACCTTTTGCGCGAGTTTTGTTCAAGGCAAGCGCACTGAATTACAGTTCATAGGCTCTCTCAGAGTGAGTGTAGCTCCGATGTCTCGGTTCCGCGCGCCTCGTTCGGCTTCGCGCCGCGTTCGCACACATATCCTTGCTCCTTTTCCCATCAAGAATATTCACTCTCCGCCTCAGTCCGCGGAAGCAGCGCAAGACTTGAGCGAGGAGGTCGACTTGAGCTGCTGGAGCTTTGACACTACACTGAGACAGTCTGTACACAGTACAGCAGTTTTGTGAGTTACCAGTCAGCATAGAAATGGGACGAAGGTCGCCCGCTTAGAAAATCCTATCATACTTCATCTGTTTATTTCCTTTATAGAACAAATGGCTTGCTTTTTCTGACACGTTGTGTGCTATGATAAAAGAATTCAAAAGGTGCACGAAAGGGCTTGTTGCAATGGGAGGATCAAAGAAGCATTTACATAACATACATATCGATATGGTGCTTGCGTGAGTTCGAGTATAATCCTGTGTTCATCCACTTCTGGATCTATTGCGTCTTTGTAGAATAGAAGAACAGTGCCTTAGAGATGGTCATACCGCTCATGAGAAAAATATACTGATTCATTCCTTAGCGGATTATTGTGGGATTCAGAGAAGCACACTATCTGACCGATGCAGCAAGCGAAAAGTGGTCTGTATTATGCACACAAGTCATTTTACGGGGCAAACAAGATTTTTTCTAGGAACGATTGCATGGAGCACCGAATTTGCTAGAGTCCCTTGAAGGAAGACGCTCAGCGTTCAGGAGTATTGTTGCTCCTGCGCCTGAGACCTCCCGTCCCAGCGCATGTGAGATGTCTTCAACTTCCAGAGCTCCGACTGTGGCGGCCTCCTTGGAGACATCCATAGTAAGAGTTTACGTTACAAGTCTATTGGAGTCATTTTTTTGTTTTGAGTATGGCTTCAGTCTACTTATTTTCTACTCATCAGACCACAGAACAATTATTTTTGTTTTGTGGAGACTCAACTATCTAGAGTAACTATTACTAGGCTCCTGTCGCATCGTCATCGTCTGAAGGTCGCATTATTGATGCTGATGCTCTTATCAAACAGGAAGAATCTGTAGAAAATGATAAGAACAAGGTTTCTGAGGGTAAGCCTTTGCAGAATTTATTCTTATAATTGTGTATGAAGCGAGAAGCGAGTTGCATAAGGTTAATACTAACTTCATACAGTTTACATGATAGCTCCCTAGCAGAAATGATCCGCTTTTTTTCGAAGAGAACGCTAAACAGCGTAGACCGTCCCCTAACATAATAAGGCGGAGAAGCACAGAGGTGGAAATTGATTTGCTCTTTTTCCATCCATTTCGTATTCACTTATCCAATCCAGTATACGAATTTCATAGCCTTTGTAAACCTTTTAGTACGAAGTTTTCTTGCATATTGGTTTTTTATTTCAGAAAACGATACACTTTTCAAAGAGGCCAAGGAGGAAAGCAAACATGGAGAAGCTGCGGCGATGGAGCTCTTGGAGCCGAAGGCGGCAGATTCAATTCCGGCACCGACACAACCACCACCACTACCACCATCGAATTCTCAAGTGCTAAACGAAGCAGCGGCGAATAGTCGAGGTCGTAGTAGTTTTCGTTCCTCACTTTAATTGGGTAAACATCTCAGTTTTCAGGGTCTTCTTCAAGTTTGGTTGTAGCAAAGACCGAAGCCTCTGATAAGAGCACGTTTGATGTTTCTGAAACACTTAGAGAGTACCAAGCGTGGTTGGAATCTCTAGACGGTGATATTTTCCGTGAGAGGTTCCGAATGACCAAGAAGACATTTCGAGCGTTGTGCAAAGCGCTTCATCCGCTAATGTTGAAGAAAGCAGTACGGGTAGTTGATACTACCGCAGCCAGGATAGGTGTAGCGTTAGAGATACTTGCCGGACGCAACGAACGCACAATACTCTGTGGAAGTAAGGAATCAGCGATGGTATCCGACATCTTTTCTGATACGTTGGAAGTGTTGCTCGAGTGGTCATCAGCAATGATACAATGGCCTGACGAGAAAAGTTGCGAGAGAATTAGTGATAGGTGGGTTTTTTTAATGTGAGCCTCGTGGAAAAACTCAAAAGCTGTCCTGCCAGAGTTGTGCTCATTTCATCAGGCACTTGTGTTTGCACTATAAAACGCATTAGTATGCCAATATACGACTTTGTTCCACTTCGCACAATTGATTTTCTTTTTTTGTCCTTTCCATATCAAATTCCGTTGTTAACGTTTCTAAGAACTTGAGTTTCAGCTTTTTCGAAATAATCGGTATGCCTAACATCGTTGGCTGTATAGATGGAACCATAGTGTGAGTGCTTTTGTTTTGCTTCCCTTTAAGTAAAAGAGACTGGAGAGATTTTGTGTTTACAACAGTGAGGCCTTGAAGTGATTGCCGATAGAAGTTGCATTTTGAAGTTAAGAAAAAATTGATCCAAGAGGTGGATACGGCTAACAGAATTTCACCGCCACTAAACTTTGTCCCGGAGGTAACGAATTCGAAATTGGGCTTCAGATCGCCTAGATAAAGTAAAAATCTACTTTTCCAATGAACGGCGCAATTTATCATTTATAGAGTTACTTGGAAGTCCATTTCGGGCTCTTTACCTTTAGGCGACCCATGATGATGGGCGCGGCTAGCTCTGCAGCTTTCCCATCTGGAGCGATTAGCTCGCTTCCAAATCCACTTTCTTTCCCGGCAGGACTTGTGTAACCACCTGATTAGCGGCTTCGCTATAGTTTTGCCTAGAAATCTCACCAACTCCAACTTTAGATGAGTGGTGCATTTAACTCTAGAAATCGTGCACTATCGAGCATTTTCAGGAACGGTTCCCAGAGTATCAATGTAGGAGTTGTTGCTGACGACACCAAGCTTTTCCGATGGGTGTTCGCCAAATTTCGATCCACTGTCAACGATGAAACTGTAGGTGATGTTTTTGTGGATTTCTCTTGATTGACAGTCATCGTTGCAGGTATTCAACAAGAGCTTGCTTTGCCAGCATCTTCGAGAAGGTGTCAAGAAAGGGCGACTAATCGGCGACGATGCTTATGAAAGCAAGCCGTTCTTATTAACACCAAATATGGGAAAAGACCACCTGACAGGTATAACTTTGCAGCTGTTTTTTTGCGAAATTTATTTGAATTTGTTCCAGTCGAAGTATCTGCATTGCATATACATTTGCGCAGAGCACATGAATTAGTCAAGGAAGCTATAGCAGACTGGAAAAGACAGTTCCCGATACTGGACACGGATATCAAGTAAGTATAACTAAGTGAAACTGATGTTTCTAAAGATCATTTTTGTAGATGGTCTTCACCTGCACGAATCATAGTGAGTTGCGCTGCGCTGTATAATTTGGCGAGGAACATGGGTGAACCACCATTTGTTGATGAAGAGTCTGCCGTCAAGTGCGAGCCAATGGATTGAAATCATTCTGTCAACACGGGTTATAGGATCTCAGCAAATAGGACCAAATCTTGAAGGATTTTCTCTTGGACTCAAGGATCTTTTCTACATGAAGTGTTTTATTCATGCCTTGCTCTGATTGTTTGTAGATATAAATATATGACTTCCTCTTGATTTTGATCCGTTATGCTGGAGTCATTCGATCTCATTACTTTTGATGCATGTGAACATGCCATCTGAAGTGTCAGAAAGTCCGCTGGGAGACCATGGTTGATTTGTACAAGCGGAAGATTTGTAGTTACTGCCGTTGTGGTGCTAGTCATTTGTAGTTCTGGGTGGCTCAGGTGGAAATTCGTGTTGTATCCAGCCCAAACTATGTGCGTAAAAATTAGAAACAAGGGTTCCTTTTTTATAGGGTTGAGAGATTGTGTTCTAGTTGCTGAGCGATACTCCAGTAATTTGACAGTCAGTAGGTAGATCTGAATAGTCGGTAAATCACTGGACGTTTGGTTGCGCGCAGTTTAGCGATTCCGATCAATCCCAGATCGGTTTCGGACAAAAAAAAATAAGTATGATCGCACTTCCACGCGCGAGGCCATTTTGGGTGGGAAATTCGTACACAATGCTGTGCATTGAAAGCACATGATTGTTCCCACGAAACTGTCCTAGGAAAGCTTCTTGAATAAAGTCAAGACGGTAGAAATGAGCTAGATCTACAGCTTCGTGTCCTAGCAGTGTCCTGTACTTCTGACACTCGAGCATCTTTCTTCATTATTCATGCGTAGTTCATCAACTTCATTCACTTTGCTATTGTTCAGTTTACCGACTTGATTAAATTATGGTGCGCCTTAGCGCTCGTGCTCAGGGCTTGGTGCAGGAATCCTGTGGAAAACGCTGGACTTCGTTTTTGGGGCAAAAAGCAAAGGGGATCATGATGAAACATGAATAAAAACCAAACAAAAACTCGCCGTAATAGATACTGCGTTCCAACTTCATCCATTGCAGATGGCGCTTGCTTTGAAGTTTTCATTTGCGGTCTCAGATTTTATCATTTTGTTCCTCCTTCCCCGTTCTCTACTCTATGCATTGCGCGTATTTGTTGAATTTGTTCACACGTATTTTGATTAATTAAAGTCGTAAAATGCTAAAGTTTCAACTCCATATCCTGCATTTTGTCAAAGTATTGTTATTCTTCAAATGCTTTGCTAAAAGTCAAGCAACTTCGTTAAAGTATTGGAAGTGAAGAGGGTATACGGGATTCATCACATGTAAAGACTGGGAGCCGTTTCTGACCAAGTTTGTACTTGGGAGAGACGGCAGATGGTAAGAGAAATGAAAGAGTGCTCGACCAGGGAAACACAGAGACGTCCGCAATCTTTGCATGCTATGAATATTGAATATTGAATCGTCTGTACTTTGTTTTCGAAACGGGTACAAACTGATTTGTGTTGCGCTTCTCAGTGTCTGCGCACACCTATCTATCTCGCTGAACGGCCGCATTCGTCTGGGACTATTGTTGATAAATGGAGTTGTAGTGGTCAGCAGGATAAAGAGTATCCCAGCTTGGAGCAACCGCATCGCAACGATAGGCGCAAGCGCCTCTCTTCCTACCCGAAACTGAAAGCAATTTACAGGGGCTTTCAATCTAAAGGCCGCATGCACTAACATCGCCGTGGGGAGGGGATCGCAGCTTAGAAGAAAGCTTTATATTTCGAAACTCCAGTTACCTTGATTTCACGTTGTGTACCTATCCGTAACTATTCCTACTACCCTTCACTATGAACATGTTGAAGAGGAGCGAGAAGCTGTACAAACCACATTTTCCAGCTTTTGCATGATCCCTGATGATCCCCGGCGCTTTTCTTTAAAGTCATTTTTCTTTCTCCGAAGTTAACGGAAAACCTCCAAAGTTGTGCGTATATCTAACCCGACAGTGCTAAGCATGTTGCTGATGAGAACAAATGATTTTTGGAGTCATGAAATTTTCGATGATCCACAGGTCGAAATTTGAGGTTTACCGAAAAATTCGACTTTTCAAAAACTCATTTGTTCTCATCAGCAACATGCTTAGCACTGTTGTGCTAGATGTTCAGTACAACTTTGGAAGGTTTTCGTTCTCTTCGGAGAAAGAAAAATGACTTTGAAAAATAGATGTTCGTCCCCCAGGGATCATCAGGGGATCCTACAAAAAGCTGGGAAATGCGGCTTGTACAGCTTCTCGCTTCTGCTCAATATGTTCATAGTGAAGGATGGTGGGAGTACCTACGGACAGGTAGACAGCGTGAAATCCAGATATCCTGAACTTCAGGATATGAAGCTTTCTTCTGAGGCTGCGATCCCCTCCCCAGCGAGGAGGTTAGTGCATGCGGCCCTAAGTGTCACAGTTAACGTGGATCATGTTCTCGCGAACAGCCTCGCTCGGCTCTCTCACGTGGTACAGTGCCACATCTGATACCGCGAAGGCCTACAGGGCTCCTAAATTGCAGAGTCGTTTGCACCAGCGGTCGCGGGACCGCGTCGCGCCCGGGCGTTTTGCCGGCGCCGGCGCCATTGATCGAGGCGGCGCCATTGATGCACGGGCGCGACGCGGTCGCGCGACCGCTGGTGCAAACGACTCTGCAAGTTAGGAGCCCTGTAGGTGATGCGGTTTTGTACCAGGTGAGAGACTCAAGCGAGGCGGCTCGCGAGGATCTGAGCAACGTCGACAGTGACACTCAGATTGAAAGACCCTGTATAAATCGATCAGTTCCATGTGTCATTCCTCTGATGTTAACCTAGTTGTGGTGTTTGAAACGAGATAGAGGGTTCACAGGCTCTAATGTAGTTTACATTTTTTTGGCCCTGAACTGTAAAAATCTTGTGTGCTGATAATCTACAATATCCTGAAAATTTTGTGCCCATAATATACACTTGCAAATATAAAAATCCGCAGGTATGGCGGGGCCTGACCATTCACAAACCAGTGGCACTTCCCAGCCATCCGAAGAGTTAGCGGGTGATGGAGATAAGTCGAAGGACGATGCACATCGAGCTATCCAACAAGTGAAAGGGTGAGTTTCCCATTATCTACAAAAATTAGTTATTTTCTTGCGCAGCTATAACCGGAGATATACAGTCCAGTGAATTCCCGCTCAATATAGTATGCCTGCGGAGCTATTTTGCGGTATAATTTGTGCGTCAATAAATGGCTACGCCTGTAATGCCGGTTACTTGCACGCGAATTGCCAGCATCTCAGGAGTAGCTATAGGCCGTCCGCGCTGCGACGTAGAGCAAAGTTGTTGCGTAGATTGAAGGCAGTTCACGACTGGAAGAAGCGCAGAGAGAAACAGGCGGCGAGAGTGCGCGAGGAAAGAGGAGTGATGCGCAATACACACCTTGCGCACTCTCCGCGCCCTGCGCGGACGGCTATATCTGTTCACGCGCAAATGTCACCGCAAGCAGAGCATATTGAACTGAGTATGCACTGTACAATAAGTTTCGACCCGCTTTAGGCGGAAATTGGGTTGGCGGGAGTCCGTCTCGCAACAGCTCGCGCCGTTTGCTACAGTATATCCTATCATGCTGACAAGGGAAGGATATCAACATTAGTTGGCAATTGAAGATGGTATGTATATCATTAGATGCGCCTTCAAACGCTGATTCCAAATCTGCTTTCCTTTTTTGCGGAATAAGTTTCCGAAAGAAGCTATGAACGTTTGAATGTCCAGATTTGCCAAGCACTGAGTGGCTTAAAATCAGCGAAAAGCTCTAAAACAACACCTATGCGATTTCCACCGGCTTTCTTCCTTTCTTACAAACAATATACTTGATACAAAAATGATTTTCCATTTTCAGGCGATTTTGTACAGCTTTTCGCCAATTTTAGCCCACCTAGACCTTGACAAATTTAGACATTTGAACGCCCAGAACTTCCTTCGGAAACTTATTCCGCAAAAAAGGAAACCAGATTTGGAATCAGCATCAAAGGCGCGTCTACTGATATACATATCATTTTCAATCACCGACTAATGCTGGTATCCTTCCCTTGTGAGAACGCATGTCTGCGTTTCTTCAATGTCCTTAGTCTTTGTTTGGCAAAATGCCAGCGCTATGCGCTCGCAAAGCCTCCAGCGATGCGCATGCGCTCCACGTAGAATGTCTCGCCTAATCCGGGATGAAACCGACTATACTCACTTGTTTCACGATGGTCCGAGGTAGCTGCCATACTTTTGTCTTATAAAAAAGTTAGATCTCTGACATATGTAGCGCGCTAGAGACATTATTTGACACTACACGAGACGCTATTTGACACTTGATGACACAGCGAAGTAAAAGTAAAATGTAACAAATACCAGCAACAGTTGAGAGTCATTGATGACGTCGGATAACATGTTGTACTCAATTGTTTGATCCGAAAGAAGGGTGAGATCCTTTACTGCGAGCCTGTCGTCGACGCCGCTCCTAGTTCTGCTCATGCGACATTAAATGCCAAATGTTTTTTGGTCTGCCACTCCGCTCATTCGGTTCGTCAAGAGCTTACACATAAGCATTATAGTAGCCTATGGTGCCATTTTAAGACTGTATCGACTCTGCAGAGCCATGATCGCAGTACCGTATCCAATGCGAATTTGAGAATGGCGTCATAGCTACTTATGATTATATTGAGTGTCTATTGCCTAAAAGACTTGGCATAAGGACTCTCTATGATCGCTGTTCTTACATGTAAACAATACGATGACGTTACAGATCAATGAGTGCATTTTTAGTTTCCGATATGCCGTTGTCGACATTGATTGCAATACCGGCGACAAACTGTATGACTTGCTGGTTGGTTGGTTTTCATTATCGTGAAAGCCTTAGAATAACGTGAGTAATTTTTGAGGTCGACAATGGTTTCAACAGTTTTGTGTTTTTGAATAATTTGAGAGACCATCCAGCGCTGCAGGTGACTTTTTGTGGGTGAGATATATAATCACAGTGTTAGAAGTAGCTTGTTTAAGGATCCTAGCGAGAAAGATGCAGCGACGAAAGCACCAGAGAAGCGTCAAGAACTTGACAAGCGAACAGATGTTGACGACCAGCAGGCCACTTCGGGTGAATTCCTTTTTTATCTTTTTGGTTAATTATGCTCGATTCCGTTCCAGTATCGTGGCATTCTTTTCACGCACTGTGGTTTTTACCACATTCATCTTATATCAATTTTTTGCAAGATTTTTGCACTTTGGAGGTCCAAAGTGATGAGGTGTCGTGTTTTTGTATGTACATATACGTTGCATGTACATATATGCAATTTCCTTGCTGATAAAATAGGTGTGTGAAACAAGGCGCTGTGGGGTTACGTTTAGGAACTTGTCGGTCTAGCTTTTGCTTACCCAACCTTGTTTGCGTTGGCTATGCTATGTAGAATCTCACATTCCCACACCTTTTTCTTCCCATTCTCGGTCAGGATGATATTCTCAATGAATACCGCTTGGAAATCTGCTGATCAGCACAATGATCCATCGAATAAAAGAGTTCTTATATCATTTATCTTATAGCTTTTTCAACGCCACCATTGTTTGCCACCGCCAAAAAGGAAAATGCGGATGCTGGAGATGATCTCGATGAGTTGCCTTTCTTCGAAGAAGTGTCTGCTACTGATCTGTTGGGACAATCTGGTGAAAGGGCATCGAAGGAACCTTATGCTGACATGATTGTTTTGGATGATTCTGATAGTCCAGGCCCATCTTCGGGTAAGTTTGTTCCATACTATGGCAATCAGGAAAACAAATCTTTGTTTAGACCATGGCACCGTGGATGCAGCCGAACTCATGCAATCCAGCTCTGCTGAAGTTCACGGAGAAGTTGGCGGAGTGATTGGTTAGTAGACTGTTACAAATCGTGATTTTGCGAATACCACATAGGACTTATGATTCTAGAGCATGTGAGCAGGCCTCTTTCGAAACAAACGCCTAAAGGAGCTTTTGTGAATTGTTTGCTATGCAAAAATATGATTACGATTTCAAGGTTGGTTGAAACATGAGTTTCACATTTTCGTTGGTCTGCATGTCATGGTTTCTATTCCGGCTTACTAGTTCCTTTTTCTGTGGCTAATGCAGCAGTCTAAGCCGGCTTCATCTAGTGCAACAACAAGACTTTTTTTTTTATTATTTTGGAAATTTCTTCCCTTTAGGTTTTCTAATCTGAAGAATCATGCTCGTCGACATTCAGTGATAAAGAAGTTTTCTTGTGCTTACTGCAATTTTCAACATAACGAGCATGCCAGGGTGAGTTTATGCTTTAGTACTCCGAAGTCAAAATCTCCGCCTTCAGATTCGTGCTCACATGCTTGCTTTGCATCAAGATAGCACAAGTGACGTTGTTGATAACAGTACGCCAGCCAATATAAAGCTTTGGGACTATCTCGTAGAAAAATGCTTTGCGCACTTCCTTGCCAGTGGACAGGCAAAGGTTCGTTGTTAGCGGATCCTTTCTCTTTATAAGTTTGCTTTTTTTAGGAGCTACCTTCCGACGATAATTCGAGTTCTGCAGGTGGGGAAGAGTACAAATGCAAGGAGTGCAGCGATGTGTTTGTTGGGCCGGAATCACCAGATGATGATGGTTTAGTACTGGTACGTTGACTGCGGCTAATATTTGCTACCAAATTTGATGAAAAAATTTGATGCCAAACTCAAGAAAAATAATGTTGATTTTGTTTCGCACTCACCATCAAACCGTAAATTTCTGCTTGCATTTCCGCAATTATAACTGGTACAAGGCGTTCATAAAATTGTGGTGGCAAGCGCGTGCGTCGCCTACACACTTTTAACAACTGCATTGTCCTATCTTTCTGTCTTCTCAAATCTTTTTTTCTTGCATGCGTATGATAGCTTTTACTTACTTGAAGCGAAGTTGAGCGTCCAAAAACTTCTTTTGTTTCATGTTTTACGCCGTTGTTCAGTCTGTGTCAGTCGAATGCTCCCTTCCGTTAAGAGCACGCCCTGCAGCGAGAGGCCTTAGCTGGCCATTTTTGATCGATGAAGCCAATTTGAAGGCCCGCCCTTTACGCCCATGGAGTGGCGCGAGGGTTTCGCAGGCGGTGGCGCCTACGAAAATGGGAGTTGGCCGTTGACTCGGACTATACCCTTCGTTTAGCTGGGAGTGGCGGGTGGAAGGCGGGGCTTCGATCGTTAATCAAGGGTTGAGCCAGAGTGCGCGGCGTACAGGCGTACGTGAATGGAAGAGTACGCGGCGTACGCTGCGCAGTCTGGCCCAACCCCAAGCCTGCATCTTTCTTCCTCGCCATCCTGCTCCATCATTTCCTAGGCTTGATAGCAATAGAAGCCCAGCCTTCCACCCATCACTCGCAGAGACAAAGGTTACGTATGGAAACGCTCAGCTGAGTGACTTCCAGTGTCAAAATACTATCATAAGCAAAAAACCGTTGAAGTAGAGATAAAAACTAAGGAAATGCGGCTCTCGGAAGAGCGTGCGTGTAGCGCGCGGTCGTGCCATCGTCACGATTGTCCAGATGCCCTAAGCTTTGCATGCTGAAATGTTACACTGACACGTTGGCGACTAAACCATTTTGAACGAAACTCTCGACGTCGTTTTCCGCTCGTGCATACACGTGTATGCACGAAGTCATTGTGTGGGAGCGTTTACTCTAACAAGGGAAGCTTGTTTGGTCGAAGTGGCCTTCCCAAATGAGATGTACACCATATTAAAGCGCATAAAACGCTGATTCCAAAACTGTCTTCCTTATCTGCAGAACATTTATGGACGAGAAGTTATGAGCGTTTTTTGGAGCCAAAAATTGAATGTGCATTTTGAATAAAATGAGTTGTTAAAATCTTACTAGCCTTCAAATAACGTAACCAAGTGTGGTATAATTTTTATTTTAGAGTAATTTTCAAGTAAAGTGTTCGTGATTATCATTGCTCCACTGAAGAGCTAGAAAAAGTATTACGGTTACTCTTGTCACACTTGCACATTCAATTTTTGACTCCAAAAAACGTTCATAACTTCTCGTCCATAAATGTTCTGCAGATAGTATGGTGTACATCCCATCAAAAAAGGCCACTTCGACTAAACAAGCATTCCTTGTAAGTAGAAAGCATGAGTAGCCTACTGAAATCACCTAAGAAAGGTGAAGGACCACATGTTGCCGAAAGCGGAGTTCACAGATGTTTGCAACGATGTGCACCTCCTGTATGTATGAGAGGTACATAATTGTTGCAGGTCTGCGCGGACCTCCCCTTTCGGTGCCATAAACTCTTCCACCACGTAAAAGGCACAGTTATACTTGATCCACTTGATGCTGTTCCACTTCGTCTACTTCTGGCCAAATTAGTGATTTGACAGCGAAGTGAATCAAGTGGACCAAGTGGACATCGCTTCGCTCTTGGTCGTTTTCTGATTTGACCAGTAGCGAAGTAAATCAAGTTTGGCGCGTGCCTGATTACAAGTTTTCTAAGGGACCACCATTTGAATTGAATGGTCACTTCCGCCCCAAAGAGCTCCTTGCCAAGCGTGCTCAAATTGGCTCTGGGAAAAGCACAAGGATAGGAAGGTAAGCCCTCAAATCTTCTGAATTTCATCTTTCCGACGGCAGATCGTTGCTAGCATTCTGAAACTTGATCCTGAACCGTCCACGTCGGTCACCTCGAAACATCGTCTCGTCGAAGTCGAAAAGACAGGGGTCAAACCAAAGCGTCGATGTGTTAGCTGCTACCAGACTCTATCAAATCGTTTTGGATCAAATGCAGCTCGAAGGCAGGCCAAGCAGGTGAAAACGAGGTGCAGTCGCTGCGAAAAACCATTTTGTCTCGATTGCTTCCAGAACTTCCACACACATTGCTCTATTCTTGAACAACCTTGCTATGTTTTCAAATAAATGTTGAATGGACTATGTCTGTTGTGCCTGTGAAGTATTGGAAAGTCCAAAAGGAGCATACCTCTTAGCACCTATCACCATCACTTATTATACTAGCTGGCAAACCTGGCTCTGCTCGGGCCTGTCAATAATGTCGTCAGCATGCTCGATTATGCCCCCCCCCCTTCTCTTGTGCCAACTCCCAGGCCCGCAGCTTAAATTTGGGGATCGATAAAATCGATAAGATCGATAACGAAAAGTCCTACAAGACGTGCCCCGCTCCGTAATATGTGTGTGCAAAGTCTGGTCCGGATTGGTTCAGAAATAAAAGTATCTATTCGGAACATACGTACGGACAGACACACACAGACATGCGCAGACATTCAGCTTTGTTTACTCGGATAAAAAAAATCAGGCCATGTATCATCATGATTGCATGCAAGTTTGAAGGAACGAACGCCTCAATTTGGCACCGCCTCCGCGGACTACTGGTCCCAACACGATGTACAACAGTAAGACGAAAGGACCAGCAGCCCGCAGAAGCGGCGCCTAATTGAGGCGTTCGTACCTCTACCCCATGCAAGTCACCTGTGGACTATTTGTCCAAACCCAAAAAATTGGCGTGCATACATATGAATGCACGAGAACGCTTAGCAAGAGTAAGGGCGTGCGTACACGTGTATGCACGCGGTCGTCAACGTGTTAGGAACTAACATTTTGAATTTCCACTATTTCTAGACGCTATATCGTCCCCTCCAAAATTGCTGTTATCTTTGCTTTGCGTCTATTACCTGCGGCTCGTATAACTGACATGTTAGCAACGTGTCGGCAACATGCAACAACATGTTGGCATTGAGTCTTGTCAAAACATTTTTATGGGGTGGGACGATTCGCACGACCGTAATGCTTTCCACACAGGATCATCGCCACGAGCGACACACCCTGCGGCGGCTTTTGCCTAAGCAAAACAGGGGAGGAAAGGTTTGCGACGTGCATTACATGTTAAGACAAGTCAAAATCAGGGAGACGCTGGAGACCGCCCGTGCGAAACACCGTCTCCCATTTTTATGAGCTCGCTGCTGCATGTTGCCAACACGTTGCATGTTGCTAACATGTTAGCCATACGCGCCGCAGGTCCGAGACCTGGGCAGTTGTGGCGGGGTCTATGTTTACTTGAGACCCACAAAAAGAGTTATTTACAGCTCCTGCACCTAGAAAACCATCTGAAGACTGTTCACAATACGGACTGTTTGGAATGTACTATATGTTTGGTCTGTGGGTACGAGAATGCTGACGAGGTAGAGATACGTCCTTTAACGGAAAGTGTAAAGTTGCATTGCGAGTTCATGATCTTGTTTCCAGAATACGGTAAACGATCACGTGATCCACGGGCACGCAGATGTTCCAGCCGGAAAGAATCTTGCTGTTGTGCCGAAACCAAATTATCATGCACTGATTACGGCCTACTTCCCGGCGGCTGCAGGTAAATCATTTATCATTCAGTTTGTGACTAAGTGACTCAAAACCCTGTGTACTCATTGTCTAAACACGATTGGGCTTGTTCTTTCCTGTTTCCAAGTAGCGAATTATTCTAAACCAGTGCTTCACCTCTGCTTCGCAGAGGTTCGCACTGGCATCGTGAACCGTGCTAAACTCACTTTCTGAGAGCTTGTCTCTCAAATCATTGTTCGGTTTATTGCAAAGTGAGCCGCAGTTAAAAATGAACCATACTCGCTATCTTAACCTCACATGATGTTTAGTATCGTAAATCATTCCTCACTGTAATTTCGTAACGGACAAACTCCACACAACTTCAGATTAAGCCGCTTATTATAAGTCATGATTGGAATTCAAATATAAAGTTGTTGACCATACTATCAAGCTTGCTGTGACAATGTGTAAGGCGCTTTTGACTATTCAAGTCACAGAATGAGTGATACGTCAAGAATGATGTCGTTTTCTATTAGCAGAACATTTCAGAATTCACCAAACTACGACTGGATCCTCCAGCAGGCGACATAAGGTTGTCTAATGGTCAAATTTGCATAAAAGGAAAAACTTTGTCGCAAAATTGTGATGAGGTCACGGAGATTGATGAAGATGGAAACGTGTCTACACAGCTGGCATGTAAGGTGAGCAATATGAAACGCACTGAGTCGTTGGTTGCCTTTCCTGGACGGTGATCGTTGGTTTGCATTCCAAATTTGCTGAAGGTCCACTCTGAAGGAATTAGAGGCTGTTATTGAACTTGCAGCGACGGTGCGGTGTGACGCGAGCAAACAGTGCTCTGCGTTAAAAGGCAGTGTCCAGACAAATCTGGGCCCATGGTTTTTGCTTGGAAACTGATGAGGGGGTCCTATTCAAGGTACTGCCCAAGTGGCAGCGCAAATGGTTCATTCACGGCTGAGAAATCCATCCCAAACACCTCTCGCCTGCGCCATGACCGTAACCCGCAAATGACTTCGCTAACTTTAACACTGCTTTTGCGCTGGGACCCGTTCTAAGTCACTAATGAGTTACTGTCACGGCGCAGGCGCGAAGGGTTTTGGAGATAAATTTTTTTAGGTCGTGAACGGGTCATTTGCTGCCTCTTGGAGAGTGTTTTAGATAGGACCCTCTCTCCAGGTTCCAGACAAAAAGCACATGCGCCCAGATTCGCCTGGGCACTGACTTTAAAGGACATCTTGCGACAATACGCCTTCGTAAGGCATGCCTGCGCGGGACCGATCCCGGGTAATACAGCCTATACGTATGAAGGATTTTTTGTGGCTGCCTGCCGCAGTACGCTTGATAAAAGTTTCCTCCAAATAGTAGAGGTGGTTGATGGGTGCAATGGATAGTGGCTTGGATTGCGGAGCGGGACCTCTAGGGTTGCCATCTTCTCGGATGCCATTTGTTTTTTTTTTGTTTTTTTGCATTTTTGTAAATTCTAGCACCCAAATTGCAAAGCCTGTCGACATTGAAAAAATGTTGATTTGATATGGGAAAATAAAATAACATTGTCGATAGTGGATCGCCTTCTCGCTATTAAACACTCTTTTTACCATTTTTGAACAGATTTTTCAAACACTAAAAGAATATACAGTGGGAGTTGCTATCCTATGATATGGAGAAACAAATGACATATGAAGTGGCCCTGAAAAATGCATCGAATTACAATCATGTTAATCAGTACGATGTCTGCCACGAGATTTCGTTCTTCAAGGAGCGCGCGTTGACTCAGTCGATTGCCTGCCAGGAGAGGCGCGTGACGAATAGTTTTTCATTCATGCTGCGCCAGGCCGCCCACGAGAATCTGGAGGCTGAAAGCGATGAGGACATGGATACCACAGATGATGAATTTGATTCATCATGGTCCGACGACGAAGAGGAGGGTCCATCAACCAGAGGATCATCAATCAAAAAGGAGGGCTCAATCAAATTTGGGAGGGTGGAGGTATCAGAAGAACTGGTATGTTTATTGTTTCATTTAGTTTTTATGTATGGCTAAACTCATCGTCTAGGTAGAGAAAGCGATTGCATTCTATCGCTCGACGGCGAAGGGTTTTCGCTCACTCAAAACAATGAATAACAGATTCCGCTTCATCTCCTCCCCACATCATATCCAAAAGTTGAGAAAGTTTGAAGAACAAAGTAGGTTAATTAACACAAACGAAAGACCCTCGCTCAGAGAACTTTACTCAGGGCAAATTCAAGCTGACCGAAGAATACGTTTGCGGAGACTTGCAGAAAAGTTGCGTAGCGAAGTTTATTTGCAATTTGGAATGGGTGTGACTTTGCATGACAGCGATATCCGTCGTCTTGCACTCAAAATCAATGAGGAAGAATTCAATATCGATCGATTCAAAGCCAGCTCTAATTGGATCAAGGACTTCAGAAAAAGGAATGGCATTGTTTTGCAGCATGTTACGGCTAGGTCCAGAAAAAAACTGGACCGGCTAGCTGATGCAACGCGCTCTTTCATGTTAGAGGTGAAAGAAGGTAAAAAAATTTGTCTATTCAAAATACGAAAAGATTCATGAGTCTTTTCCCAGAAATGGAGCGTTGGCCTGCTAGCGCCGTTTGTAATGCAAGTCAGAGTGCGCAATCAGTCCCATCCAGCAGCATTTCATTCACGATTATACCCACAATCTATGCAGATGGGCACTTAGGGAAGAAACTTTTCGTTGTAATGCAGGTACGAGAACAGTTGCCAAATTCACTTGGACACAACAATTTCTTGACAGGAAAAATCAGGATCATTTCCTACGAGCTTCTTCCGGGCGGACAATCTAGAGCTACGAGCCCGCTCGACCCTTACCATGGACAAGAAATTGCTCGCAGATTGGGTGAAAACGTGCTTGTTTCCTGCGAAGAACTCTGCAAACAAGCTGTTGTTGGTGGACACTTGGGTGTCTTCTAAAGATCAAGTCACAATTGAAGCTGCTGTGCCAGGTGGTCAACAGATAAAAATCAAGAACATCCCTGCTGAGGCTAACGCTAGGATACAGCCATTGGATTACTTCTTTCTGCAATTCAGAGCAATGTACGAGCGATTCAGCTCACACGTCATCGCTCACAGCTTAGATTTTCGCTTGCAGAGTAGGGTTTCGGTAATAAGGTTACTATCACTCATATATGCCCAGTTTTCTGCCTCTAAATTTACAAATTTTCATAAGTATTGCTGGTACGCTGCTGGTTATTTTGATAAACATCCTGGCCCATTCGAAACCCCGTCGCAGTTTTGCTTTGCTCAGCAGTCAGTTGGGTCATGTAACGTCGACGGTTGCGAAGAAATTGTGTTCATCTGTTGTGCGCACTGTGAACGCGTCTTCTGCTTCAAACATTTTGTGGTTTGGTATCATAGATGTTCGTGAATATTTTATGTTCGTATAAAGCATTCCATTGAAAAAAAACGTGTTCATTGGTGTAAAGGTGATCCGCTACCGATAATGTGGTTTTATTCCCTCTTGTTAATCAACTTTTTTCGATGTCGACGCTTTTGCACCCTGCTAAAACTTGCAAAATAGGGATGGTATATCAGAGGGATGGAACTTACCACGGCCTGCTTAGCAGTCCAAGCCACTATCCAATACAACATTTGACCACAGCAGGACTCGGGTATTTGAACGTACAGTACCGCTAACAATTCGTCAAAAAAGTCACTGAACTCTACCAGCGCCCACCGAAATCTGCATCGCACTGCCTTGTCTTGGTTTAGAGTGGACGAATTCTGAGCCTAAGGGCAGCGTTCGACTCAACTCGGCGAGGCGCATCTTCTGAAATAAAGAAATTCCCTTTTGGATATCGAAGGGCGATCACATCTCACAAATTTTTCCATATTTTTGCAGTAGATTACTTGATGTGTATTCGTTGTGCACTGAGCAGCCTACCGGACAAAAGGAAGAAAAATTCATGGAATCTGATTGCCTACCATACGACGGGCACTTCATACATGTGATGATGAAGATGCTCCTTGCCGCGCTGAGATGAATGATGCCCTTCGATAGAGAGTTCGTCTACTCTGAAACAAGATATGGCGATGCGACGCGGATTTCGGTGATTTCCGGTGGAATTCGGTGTCTGTTTTGATGAATTATGATCGGTACTGTATCTCCAGCAGACCATTAGACAAGATTTTCATTCTTTACAGAGGGATCATTTAGCAGATTTGGAATGCACATTGGAGATCTTCATCCAGAAAAGTGTAGATGCAATAGATACATCGGTTACCAAATCTCGACTGCGACCTGGTAACTTTCCATTGTGTCTTGATTATCATACTACGTAGTTTTCAGCTATGCAACCGATTCCTGGATTGTGACGACTTGCCTGAACTCGTAACGCACGCTAAAGCTCATTACATCATCAAGCAATTTGAATGTAGTCGTTGCGGATTTGGAAGCAATGAACGAGCTGCTCTAAGCCAGCATGTGTATTTGAAACATCGTAATGCAGCTGTAGAGATACTTGAACACGAGTGGGTTATATACATCTATTCTGAAGAGTTTGATGGTTAAGCGAAGTCATGTTTTAGTGGAGAAATCATAAGAAAGGCATGGACACAAGTGGTGAGGATATGTTTCCCGAAATTAGCGATGAAGTTGAAGAAAGAAAGGGTGAGTAAAATTTCGACTCCTAGCCTTTTGCGCATTGATGGTATTGAGCTGCCTTGCAATTTCAGAATGCCAGAAGACAACGACCCATCAAATCAGCAAGAAGGGCTGCAGCAGCAAAGTGATTTCTGGGATTTTCCCGTGTGGTATTCCATCTACTGAGTTCTCGTAATGACTTGTACGTTCTATCGGTTTTTTTGCCAACTCATTTTACCTATGCGTTGTTATTTCTACTATACCTCGACATGGTCTCAATTTTGTTGATTGATATGTAGCGTTTTTAGGCATTAGTGACTAATCCCATCCCCAGTTCATCAATCATCTTTTTGTGTGTTCTGTTGTTCAGAGGGTTTGCTGCTTTTACCACTACTCTAAAATTCCCGCTGCAATTCATGCAATCAAGGATATCGAGAAGAGGGTCTTTTCAAACTTCTGGAGCTGTTTTCTTGCTCCAGAAGCAGTATTTTGCACCCGCAATGGGGCTGTAGCGTGGCTTGCATGGGGAGCCCGCTTTGTACTGCGTTGAAATCAGCTGCTCCCACATCTGCCCGGATACTACCTCTAAGATTCTGTAATTTCCATAATGAACTGTGGAGGAAGCTGTGAAGACAAGCAATGTACGAAAACTATAATGCAAAATACAATAAGAGACTAGCCCCGCTGTGTGTGTGTTGGGCTTACTACAAAGGCCGGTAGAAAATGAGGGCGTAAGGCATGAGGGAATCGTAATCTTACGTGCGCCCCACCTTAGCTGTACCATCGGCCCCTGACTACCTTACAATCGCACACACCGAACGAGCGATTGTCTATCGTCGTTGATCGCCCACACGGCGCGAATCCCTGAGTCCCTAGCTCTGTTAATAATCATGTTCTCGATAGCTGTTGTGCGCTCTGGCCTTGTATAACCCATGTCTTTGAATGCCAGCGCTGTGGAAAAAAATGCTTATCAATATTAAGAGGAACTGCCGACTAAATTACTGTTTTGAGCTAACTTGGATTATACCTATCGACTATACCTCTGGCGACTCCATCGTAGCGATTCTCATTGCTGGTGCATCGAATGCCTCAGCGTGCAATCGCTTCGGAACTAATCCCACGTCGCTCATTCCGGGCATACCTTTCACAAACTCAGACGCTCAGACGTCACCCCCGAATGAACGCAAACATTATCGTGTTTTGAATTCGTTTTTCACTCCTTTTCAAACACTTTGATGAAATTGCGGCGGAGACGTTCGGAAAGCCCTGGAATCTGCCACTTTGTTACCAAGCTCTGGAATTACTTCAGAGATTTGTGCACAACACGTCGATATTACAAGTAGACCTGAAATGTACAGCCAAAATAAAAATACATCGCTACAGTTCTGTGTAGAAGCAGCAAACTAAGCTATATGCGACGCATTTACAATAGGGAAAGATGTGCTGTATGGTAGAAGTATCTGCTGCATGCCAAGCGGTGATGTGATTAAACGAAGTGGAGGTTTTAATACATAATGGAAAAAGAAGTTCTTAGCAGATAGTTCCACATCCTTTGTCCGCGGAATGGCATAAGAGCATAAACGGAAGATATTTTAGTGCTAGTCTTGATGTGCATCCCATGATTTGAAAAAGTGCGAAAACTTTTCGGGGAAAGGGAAGTGACTCGCGACATATCGCCCGTCGCTGGTGCAGACTCTGCGACGCGATTTCTCTCAGTTTCGGCGATGTCGTGGCGATATCGCCTGTAGAGGTATACCCGTCAAAAAACTGCTCGCGACGGCGCGCAATTCGTCGCCCCTACAAACTGGCACGGATACGCGGGACCCACTTTTTTGAATACTTGAGCGCGATGGGTCAGGAACACCTGTACAGTGGAGCGATCGCGCAGCGATCGAAAACGCGTAAGGTATGCCGCGATCGAAAACGCGTAAGGTATGCCCGATGCCTAAAGCGATAACACCAGCAATCCGGCGGAGGCTAGCATTGACGACCATGTGACGAAAGTTTGCGATAGGTGCTCAAAGTCCGGTAGACTGATTTTTGGAAGGATCTCGCTTTTTTCATTCAGAACGCACCACACCGCTCTCAGGTTTCCATTGTAATGAAGTAGGCCTGTGATTTTGAGGGACTTAGTCGTTTTTCCACGTTTGTTACAATTCTGACAGAATACTGCTCTGTCGCTAATGAAGCTTATGTTCGTTTGTGTTCCTTTGTCTGCGCATTTGACTGTAAATGCATCATCCTCGCAATGGATCGCCTATGTCATGGGTTCAGAAGATTTGTTTGTAATTATGGCTTCAGACCCTTCGGCATTTATAGCAATTATCAGATGCGCATCTTCGCTTGCGCACACTGCCTGTGATCTCACTGCTGCTGTGTCAAACTTTCCTTTGATTTGTAGGACGAATTCCGATGAGGGAAGTTGTAGTGCTCTAGACATAGTAGTTCCGTTCATCGGGTGTAGTTCAAGATTTAGTCGCAGTACTAGGTGTCTCTAGCTAACTTCGAACGTGAGCGGCGGTGGTTCATTTCTTTGCAATTGCATGTTCATTTTTACCTTGGTTGGCTTGCATTCCCAATCTTCTTTTACTTCAGTGAGGTTCCTGCGTTCTTATATGAATCGCATGGCAGTGGAAATGCGAGAGGTCCGATGCCTACAGTCAGATTACCGTCTGTGAGAAAAGTTGTATCCAACATAGGGGTTGGTGGTATGCTGATAGATGAGAGCGTGATGGTGAATGGCGCTGCTTGTCGATTGGTCTGGGGCTGCTTGAGAGTAGAAGTCCTGACGAGGTTTGGCTTGGTCCAAACTTCGCAGCGTACCCACACGTGCGTAAAGATATGGGGATTTACGCTGCGTACGTCGCGCATGCCCGGTACGCCGAGCAGACTGGCCCATTCATCGTTTTTCTTCTCATCGTTTTTAGTGAATAAATTCTGTAATCACAACCTAGGCCTGTACGGCTTTCCGCACATCATGTGATGCCTGGGAAGTTGTTCACTCTATGTAGTTCTGCCACCTTCGATGATGCTTTCCCGCTTGAACGGTTGCTCAGTACTGTGTATCGCCACGCGAGGCTTTGGCGCTGATCGGTTTGCGGACACAGGTTGACTGCGACATCTCATACTTGGGTAATTATTATTATAAAGACAATGTCCAAAGGTATGAGCAACATACGAACAAGCAATGCACTAGTAATACAAGCATATGGGGAATATGACTTGAAATGTAACTGTGAGAAACGTGGTTCTGTAGGAGCAACCTCGCAAAGAGTACAGTGATATAATAATCCAGAGCCAAGAATAGCTAAGAATGATAAAGTAAACAAGAATGCAGTTATATTGAACGCGGCCCCTTCCGGTAGCTGTATCCGCCGCTCATGTAAGCCAACGAATTTGAACAAAATATCAGTAAGCATGGGAATTCCGCAGATAAGCTAACAGCTAACAAAACAGTAAACATAAGCCTGTCAGAAAGTTCGTGTTTGAGCCGCTTTTGATATTTTCGGGGCACAAAGTACAATGCAAGCAGGAAAGTTCGTATACTGCGACCTCAGCCAATGAACGAAGCGTCACCATTGATACCGAAGTAATGGGCAAGGCTGTCATCATAATCCTCGTCTTGTGTTGCTTCCCAGCTCAAGTTTCGACTGATTCTTTCCTTGGTTGGCGTTACATTGAGTTGCTTCTTCGTTGTCAGGTGTGACATTTTCTCCATTGTCAATTTTCAGTGGCGCAGTTTGAGTTGACCGCCTGGATCCATCAGGATCTCCCATAACAGCTCCCCTTGTGGCTTTCTGTGGTGATTCGTCTCTATGGACTGTCTTTGCTGTTTCCCAAATATTTCTTGGTTGTATGGCATCCCACTGTAAAACGCCTATTTTTGGTGTTTTTCTTGTTCTTCGCTTCTGATCCATTCGAATTTAGTGGTGTTCTTGAACGCCGGTGAGATACTTTTCCCTCCAAATCTGCCATAATCTCTTTGTCAAATCTACTGACTTCTTTGGTTCCGCTTTTGTTTGGTGTTGTGTTGCTAATTGCTGTGCATCTTCTGGAGAATAATAAATCACCTCGCTTTCTTTGTTCCCCATGTATCTTAGTGGGTAGTCTAGGATTATATCATGCTGCAGAAAGTCGATGGGTCGAAGTAGTGATGATGTTTTTGGTGAGCCCGTATACTAAACACCACATTCTGCTTTCGTGCATCTCCATTCCTGTGATGTTTTGCTTCCTTGAAATGTATTTCGTTTTGGTATTTGTAGTGAAATCTCTTCCTTCCTTCCTTCCTTCCGGATGGTTCACGGAGCTTTTTGACAATCGTAAAATTATATTAGCGCTCGTGTGCCTTATCAAGGGAACTGTGTCTTCGTAGGTCTAGAATCTCTTCCTTTGACTGTTCTGTTAGTGCTATGGCGGTCTCCACTGTCGCCGTGGTTGTTTCTTCATCTTCTGCTATCAAAGAAAGTTTGGAATAGCCCGGTCTATTTGTAAAAGGTGCATTCCACCAGAGGTGATCTTAGTGCCTCTGCTGTTAATCCTCTTGATCCGCAGTCGGCAGGTTTCTCTGATGTCTTGACGTGCCCAACAGGCAAGTTATGTGACGTGCCCAACAGGCAAGTTATGTTGTGTTCCTCCAAACTGTTGTTTATCCGCCTTATTTCTGCTAGTCGATTGGTTACGAGCACTCTTGCTTCCTGTCGGGTGTGAGCTGTTTTTAATCCATCCCAGAACGATCGTAGTCTGTGTAACCTGTGACCTCCTCAATAGGGTAGGTTGGTTACAACACTTCGCAGATAAAGCGAGCGACTTGTATTCCCAGTGTTGCTGCGTTCTTTTCGAGTTTAGGTATCGTCTCAATAGTCTTTATGAAGTGGAGTTTCGATTTTCCCATGATGAATTCGGACTCGGATTCTGTGCACAACCAAGGTTATCCTCGTCAAGCCACCAGCTGAGCCGCCTAGGCACCAGCAACCACCAAACCATCGCCACGTTCTGCTTGCCACCAGCCGCTCAACATGTCATTATCGACTGTCACATCCCATGAAGAAGCATCGCCGATATCTAGATCAAGTATTTTATGATTTTGGTGTGCTATATGTAAATTTTTGTTGCCCCTGCCCCCGGAGTATCATCGATGACGATGATTCCTCCATAGGGGAGTCGGGGGCGCGGCTCCGATATGCTGGTTAGGTGCCTTCGGCTCGCTTCACTTGTTACTCGAACGTTGGCTTTAGCCGTCCAATAAAAGGTTCTCGCCCAGTGCTCTCTGTCCGCTCCGCAATTCCACTGAATCACCGTAAGGGAACGGCCATAGGTTGTCGGTGTTGTCGGTGTTGTCGGGGTCAGAGACAGTTTAGAGAGCGCACGAAACGTGGAGGCTATCATAGGTCCTACAACGACCGGCAACCTCGCAACCCCGACAACACCGACAACCTATGGCCGTTCCCTAAGTTAACTTCGGCTTCGAAATACTCGCACCCACTATCTCAGTAGGGCCTCCACAGCCATTATCCTTTCTCAGAGTTGAAGACGCTTAGAGCTAGGAACAGACGGTTCGCTTTACTTTTTGAAGCACTTAGGCACTCAGCTCTTGTCAATGAACATGAACTCGTGAGAAACCTTTTCGCCTCGAACGTTCGTCATTGCGCATGCATTGAGGTGTCTACAAAGAATAAGAATTGCAAAATTTGTAGAAATGTCATTTGTACAGCCACTTCCGCTGCATATCAAATTTCGTTTGTGTGTTACTTGTCATTATTAACTATTTTTAGTTTGAAGCTTACCCAATTACCCAAGCTTGGGAACCGCTGTGCAAACGGCTGAGTCTCGCGTTGTACCAAGTTACACACCGAACTCAAGTAATCTGTACACGCTGCAGACAAATGTCTATATTAGCAGCCGCCTCCACGGACTACTAGTCCTAACGCGGGATGCACTAGCAGTAGTACTAGCAGTAGACCAGTGGTAGCGAAGCGGCGCCTTGAGGTGTTCGTTTTTCTACCCCACGCTGCCTATCTGGAAATATGGTTTGATCGTGAGACAGTGACTCCTTTCGAACTCGATAGTTGATCGTCCTGTGAAATTTGCATACCACTCGGGATTAGGACAAGATACCCCGTTAGTGCTATGTTCCTACGTTTTCCGTGAACGTTTGATGTCAAGCAAATAATAGTGAGTCGTACCTTAGTCATCGGAAAATCAATCTCGTCACCTGCTGTGTCAAGTGGACCTTATTTATCGCTATAAAGGTGCACCAGAACGCCTCCACACTGATTTTATGAAATACTGGCTGGCTTACCCGGCTCCGCTCGGCCGTGTCAAGAGACAATGATAAAGGTCCCATCCCTATCCCTCTACAATCTTTCCTTCTGCCCATTTCTACATGCCAGTTCCCTATTCCCGCTGTGTTAGTAATCAGCCTGCTCATTTACCCCTGTGCCATCTCCCAGTAGCTCTGACTTGGCAAAAAATCGATAAAATCGACAAGGTTATCGATAAATCCAAAATCTAATTGTAGTCGTAATCAGCATGCTCACTTACCTCCCCCCCCCCCTCCCCCCCTCCGCCTGTGCTAGCTCCCAGCCCCGTAGCTTAAACTTTGCAAAAAATCGATAGAATCGATCAAAGTAATCGATAATTTCAGAAACCAGGATTTATTTGTAATCAGCATGCTCACATTCCCTGTGCCAGTTCCCAGCGCCTGTGGCTTAAAGTTTGCAAAAAATGATAAAATCGATAGAAGTAATCGATGAGTCTAAAAACTAATACTGTATCGTAATCAGCATGCTCACTTACCCCCCCCCGTGCCAACTCCCAGCTCAGTAGCTTGAATTTCGCAAAGAATCGATAAAAGCGATATCGATCGATAACGAAAAGTAGCCTACGCCGCGCGCCCCGCCGCGAAGTATATTTGTGCCAAGTCTGGTTCAGATCGGTTCAGAATAAAGTTTTTATTTCGCAAATACTACACACATACATACAGACAAGACATTCAGCTGCTTACAGACAAGCAGACATTCAGCTTTATATATAAGACTAGTTTATAAATCACCGGAGGATCGATCATCCCTATTCTTTCTCTTTTTTTTCTGAAAAATTGTATAAGCAGCAAATCTCTTCCTTACCCATCTCTGATATGTTGGCAACCGATGTCAAATAGAAATTTCAGATCATTCATTCCATATCCAGTAGATATCCTGATGTGATTTTATTGTCTGCGGCAATAAATGGATTGTACCTCATGTTATTCAATGTTTTTAGAACTAGGGCTGTTTTCCAAGGAGGTTTTTGGAAGACTCGAAGAGTCATGTTTCAATCATGTTGATCAGTATCGTTCTTCTGAAATTAAAATGTATCGTATTGGCACAAATGACACAGGCTTTCGCAACATTGTTTTGTTAGCAGCATAAAAGCGTGGTGCATTGAAAACAGGTCTGGTTCGTGCTGGTCGATGTGCCGTCTTCGCTTTCAATGGCAGAAACAGGGAGCTGGGGCCGGTAGAGGAGGGAATTTTTCATCAGGCGCCACTTCCTCTACTGGCCTCTCCTCTTCAGGGTATGCAGTGGAAGCTCCCTGCGCGAATAGAGCACGAAAAGGCGGACCAGTTGACAAAATCGCTCCTCAAAAGTAAAATAATTCTCAAAAAATAGTGAGCTGGAGCGCACGCTTAAATCCATATTTTGACACAGCGTCTAGATTTGCCCATGTGTCAGCGTCGTGCCCGGATGTCCTATCAATGTGCGTTCTCGCTGATACTGGCACGGCGCTGGGACGCGCAGCCAACGATCTACATAGCTTATGAACCTATGTATCGTCTGCACCCCAAAGAGGTTCCCATGTGAACCTGCTTGCGCACGTGGTGCGACGCTGCCTTTCGCTCTTTTTGACACGTTTCTCCTGAAATTTCAACGGAACTGCCCGAGATTAACACGTTCAAAAGTGCGAAAAGCAGCAAGATGACGTGGTACCTATGGGAACCTTTCTGGGGCGCAGACAATAGATCGTTGGCTGCGTCAGCGAATTTATACCCTCGATATCATCCCATATGTCTTCCCTCAACATGACGTGGATTACGTGGCTTGATGAGGCGCCGCCTCGCCTCGGGCTCGCGCCACGTTGCGAGCGCATCATTTGGCGCGACGTGGCGCTCAACACAACGTGGCGCAGGCTTTTCCACGTTCTTTTTGTTGCCACATCACGCCGAATGCGCACGCAACGTGGCGCAAGCCCGAGGCGAGGCGGCGCCTCATCAAGCCACGTAATCCACGTCATGTTGAGGGAAGACATATGGGATGATATCGAGGGTACATATAGTTCGCATGGCGCGTTTTCCAGAATTGTTCTCATATGAACCATCAAGTGGTTGTCTTTCTATCATTTATGATCGTCTCCACGATTCGTGTAGAGGTGTATTGCAGACTTTGCGTGATAACACAGGTAAACTTGTTAAACCTCCACGTCAAAGCATTGTTTTTTGTACTCTCTCGCTATCGAAAACCGCCACGCTTTGAGTTGGCAAAACTGCCTCTACACGAATCGCGGAGCCGATGATAAACATGTTATTGAATAGGCGCCTTAATTTTGCTGGAGTTAACATGTTAAAACGATTGAAACGCAGCCACGTTGACGGTTCATATGGAAACAATTCTGTTGGATGCACGATATCAGCGAACATCGGCATGCGATGTCGAGCCTGCGGCAACTAGCGACGATGTGGTTAGGGCCCGCATGAGTTCTAGAATGGAAACGAAGGGGGGGGCAAGCGTTGTGGAGCAAAGCTACGCCGCATTTCCCTGTGGTTTATCCTGAGGGCCATTTGCGTTGCGTCGCCTTTAATTGCGTAGGAACAGTGCTGCTCCCGCAAGCGGATTGAGCCATTCCCTATAACAACGACCAGTATGTTCAAACTGTATAAATGCAATACTGCAATTCAGAAAATTCAAGAAAAAAATAGATGAGTTATAGGGATGAATCAAAGACTCAATCTGGGATGATCCAATGCTGCATGTGAGTTAAAAGTGTTCAAGGGAAGTGGAACACGAGAATTAGTAGAGAAAAAGGATAGAAATTTTTGACAGTGACTTTCCAGGAAAAAATTAACTTCCTCATCTTTTACTTTCTCTTGGCTTGCTTTGCAGACTCCCTCCTCATATTTTTTATTTGAAATGCGTTTGTCATTCACATTTTGATCTCTTTATCTATGAAGGATGTGGAAAATGGCTCAATCCGCTCGGTAGCGCTAGCTCTTCTGCGACTGCAGTTAGGAGCGACGCAACGCAAAGAGCCCTCAGGATATACCCTAGGCAAATGCGGCGTAGCTTTGCCCCATAACGCGGCGCCGCCGAAACGAAGTTCCCTTTGACTCTCAGCCCCAGACGTGAAAAAAAAACTGAAAAAAAAACTCTCAAAAAAACGACTAAAAAAGTCAGTTTCTAGCCACAAAAACAATATCCATCTTGCTTTCTCGCCCCAGATGAAGTACAACCTGCCTCTATACGATGTGCGCTGCGCCGGGCCTTGAGTGCGGGCTACGCGTTAATGCACGTCATGCAAAGTGCGTCATCGAAGACATCTCAGCGCGGGCCGATGCTGGTTGATACAGACTACAAAAAAGGTGTAATTTTACAGGCTGTACGGAGGTGCATACGCGGCGCCTATTGATGGCAAATAATTCTGGTGACTTTGTCGAAAAAGATGAACATTCTAAGGTAGGGCACGTTTTTCTCAACGCACTGCCATCTGGGTCAGCGAGGTTCTCGGAAATAGCCGTGGTAGACTAGACCGGATTGCCTCTGAGAAAAGAGTCATTGCTAGGATGAGACAGCAGTAGGCAAGACAATAGAGAGTGCACTTTTCACCGACGATGTCCGCAACGGCATCCATTCACTGCGTGTGGGACTCCTCCATGACATCGCCCACACACTTGGCTTGTTGCCTTTCCCTTCTATCAGTACACCTATCTAAAGAATACAAGTCTTCTAGTTAGGGTGGCGGTCAAGAATAACGTTAGCTCTGCCAGCCGCTAGCTGCCAGCTGCTCGCGCGCGCAGATTAGCCCGCCCTCACTCATTCATGAAGTTGAGAGAAATTATTCAAACTTCTATTCTCTTCATTGAAGTTCGTTTTCTACAACGACCAAACAAGCTTACGTATTTCACATGCTACATTGAGCCAGAACATTTCTATCGCGTGTTTATGGCGATGTTATTGCTGATTATTTCCATCTTTAAAAAATAGCAGAAGCCTTAACATAAAGCACTTTCGAAGAAGAACAAAGTTTTGGACATTTACTGCTACAAAATGTAGGGCCTGCGTGAGCTCGTCCGCTGCTGTGGCGGTGCTACACTGCACCGTTTGTTGACATATTGCCAGCTATCGTTATTCTTGACATATACCCTTCCAGTTTAGATATACGTTGTAAAAGAAGCTAAATGCAGGGAGCTGGGTGTGTGTCCTGCTAAGCGTATATGGGATAAATTCCCTTATATCGGTCTTGCAGCCATTACGTCTCATCCAGTCGAGATTTGACGAATTACGAGTCTATAAATCCTCGTTTACTATTGCGTTTCCACTGCTTCACATTGTAATTGACGTGGATCTCGGTAGCGAGATCGTAGACATCTGTTCTACACACTGCTACGTAGTTGTGGTTACGGGTAAACACATCTATATTGCTCACAAAGATGAGTTGGAGGTACGTGTAAATAAAGTTTTTTGTATATATTCAGTCATCTTTTTGGTCATTTGCTTTCTCCAGAGCCCTTTGAAATGTTCTTATGAGCTCAAGGATCAACTGAATCTATCATTCGAACCAGCTAGTTGGCACTCGAACAAAGTGCAGGCAGATGAAAAAGCTGCCCTTACCACTGGTTGGTCGAAGAATGAGAAGAAGAACGTAGCTGATGTTGTTTTGACCTCAACGTTGTCTACAGTTTACCTCGTATATACGGTAGACAATGTAAGCACGGTAGTGAGGTAAGTCGGCAAATCTTGCTTGGTTTTCACTCATTCTGTGAAATTTTCAGGCTTTTTAACGAGTACAGTTATGCAGAATCCGACGAGGTGAGGCCTGTGATTGTCCAAATACCAGAAGATATTCGAATAACTATGGTAAATACATCGTACTGTGAAGCTGTGTAATGTAAATCATAAAAATATATTTCTAGGCAGTGTCTGGTAACGATCACAGCTTATTCTTGACTGATAAAGGTGCTGTCTATGCTTTGGGCACAGGAAGGTGGGTTTAGGGTTGTGAATTTGGCGATTTATTTGATGCCATTGCGGTGCCAACAGCACTTGCGCGTGAGCAGTGTCTTGCCTAGGTGGCGAGTGGGAAATGATGATGAAGTGCTCATTTAAATTTTGTGCCCTATGGCCGTTGGTCGCGCAAGTGTTGTCGGCACCGCAAGAGCACTAGATGACTTTTGAATCTACTCAGCCTCTAATTAGAATTCATAGAATCAGTTGTTTCATTGACATCTGTTTGCACTGAGAATGATGCCAATTTTTACTACCTTTGGTCTGTTTTGAGGATTTGATGCGATTCAGAAAGAATGTGATTTGCTCTTTTTTCTAATGTTTACGTTTAATTCTATACTCTGACGAACGACAGCATGTTATTGCAGTCGCGGTGAGCTTGGTATTGGTCTGATCCCTAGAGTAACTGAGCTCACATGGGTGGAAGCACTCGAAGGAGTTCATGTGACAACTATTGCTGCAGCCGGTTGGCATAGTGCTGCTTTGACAAGTATGGCCCTAATATTAAATTTCCTTTATGTCTGTAATTAACATTTCCTTGTTGAGATGATGGTGATGTTTATGTGTGGGGTTGGAATCATCGTGGACAACTAGGCGACGAAAAGGTTAGTTATAGGGAGCGGCCATAGGTTGTCGGTGTTGTCGGTGTTGTCAATGTTGTCGGTGTTGTGGGGGTTGCCGAGGTTGCTGGTCTTGTAGGACCTCATGATAGCCTCCACGTTTCGCGCGCTCTCAACTGTCTCTGAACCCGACAACACCGACAACATCGACAACACCGACAACCTATGGCCGTTCCCATACCCTTTATCTCTAATGTTTTACTCCAAAGCTTGAACTAATTACCAGGAGAAAGTGGAGCTCTACCCACTACCTCTCGACATTGACCTCAGAGTTGTGAAAATTGAACTAAGGGATCATTTGACTGCACTGTGGGTAGCGGAAGGTTAGCCAACTATAGCACAGCGTACCATGGTCATGGGCCTCATCACCAACTTCAGATGGGGATGAGCCATCTATAGTCATGGGATTGGACGAAATAGGAATGCTGCCGTTCCGCTTGCAGTATTATGATGTTGAACCTGATAAGAAGACTGAAGAAAAACTGGCTTCGGATACACAAGTGGACATGGTGTTTTTGAGTGGAAAAGAATTGCTTCGCGATGGCGATGGGGAATTTGAGTACCCTATAAGGGACAAGGATTAGAGTGGTACTTTTCTGATTTTTAATGCACTTGTTTTTTATTGCATGTTCTTTCTTATTTTTTTTTCACTTTTGTTTTCTTTGATCTCATAGTTGGAATTCGTGGTCATACCTAGCGTCGTTAAGTTACTTGAAAAGCTAAACCATGATTTAAAGTCAAGTTCATGTTCTATTCTCAGTTCTTCGAATTCATTTCATGAAGGAGTGCTCAGTTTGTGAAATCGTTGATTTTGTGTGTTGAGTGCAATTGCATATTTGTTGAACATACTCTATGCAACTGTTTATTTAGTGTTGCTTGCGAATAAATAGGAAAGTGCTATTGTAGTAGTTTTGAAAATGCCAAAATCTGGCGAGTTAGATGTAGGCTGTAGACTACATTTTTCAGAAAGTGTTAGTTGGTTATATTAAAAGCGTCAAAAGGAGCATTTTACCAAATAGTTGATATATGACCACTCTTTAGTGGAGGCTGATAAAAAACTGCAACCTGGGAAATGAAGCATCGTGAGAGATAGAACTTTGGTAAGTCAGTCTGACAGAACGGATAGAAAATCATCTTCACGGCTTTTTTGGTTACGTAATTGTATGCTGTCGTATTCCTCTCACTATCAGAAAACTACTCGTTATCATGAATTCTGTTCGATGAAAACCGGTAAGGGAGCGTGGGAAAAATGCAGCTGACGCTGAAGACGCTTTCTTTTACCATGTGCTAGAGCCTATTCTGCCGAATTTCACCTGCGGCTCAATGTGTTCTGTGGTTCTGTCGTGCATATAAATATTATCTGAATTTTTTTCAAAGTTCTTTTTACATATAGTGAGCGCGGTATTTAATCAAAGTTTCCCGCTATTATAAATATTAAGTTGTCCCAAACTTGGACGCTTTTTTAAAATAATCTAAGTTGTTTTTGCTTTCCGTAGACTCAGGCTATCATTCTATAACAAAATGACCCCCAAGGATCCACCTATTTCGCATTCCATGTAATGTTTGAAGCCGAAATCGGAAATTTTCTCACATGAAAATTGGATTTTTATAAGAAAAAAAACCTACGAACCTCGAATTTGGTCATTATACAGTGGGCATATAGTAGTACTCAAATATGCCTTTACGGGGTTTTGGGTACTACTATGTACTTATGATATAAAGACCATGTTGGGAGTCGTAAGCATTTTTTAGAAGGACAACCGACTTTTAGGGTAGCTGAAAAATTTTGGCTCCAAATTTTGCCTGGTTTTCGACTTAGGTGGAACATTCGTGTCTTTTTGTAGAGCTTGCTCTGCTCTTTCGAATGGTACCCTAAGTCTCTTAGGAAAACGAAAACAGCTCAGTTAATTTGAAAATAGAGTTTACTTTTGGGACAACCCAATACAAGTTTGGATGATCATAGTACGGTGAATAAAGGGAACAGGCTAGAACCATAAAAGCTCACTAATGTGCAAATACTCTCCACCCAGGTTATATAGTATGTAAACGTTAGCTGCTACATTGATAACTAATTTCTAGCTTTTTTAGAAAGAAAGTTTCTCTATAATTTGAAATCTCAGTGATCTGAATCCGCTCGTACATTAATTCGACAGAAGCGATGAGTGTAGTAAAAATCTCTTGCAATCTATTGCTCTTGCGTGAAGCAGTCCTGTATGTTTATTCACCTACAATCTTTATATGATAGTTATCTGACAAAAATTGATATTCTTTTACAAAACTTGCGAACATCTCAGCCCAACGAAAAATTTTGCATTTCTCAGCTTTTATCAGTGCACTGAACTGCTTGACAACAAACAAACGAAAGGGCAGAGCAAGTAGTGATAATGAGCCAACAATGGAGTACCCTCTGTTGTTTAGTTTTGCACAGCAAAGTCGCCCATCGCCTTTTTCTGGTGGCTGAACTTTGCTGAGCATCTTGACTTCTCTGCAAAAAAACTTTTCTATGTAGAACTGCCAGAGAAAACTGTGGGCTCCTTCTTGGCTTTCGGAACTTCTTCGGAAGTTCCGAAAATTTCAGAACTCCTGCGGAAGTTCCTCGTCATCCCAACGTCATCTAGGACTGATTAGAGGCTTAGGTATGAGACCGTTGCTTCTTCTGGCAGTTGCCATCTCGGCTGTTGTCGCTCGACATGTGGATCTACCAGCACCCTATGAGGACTACTGCATCCTAAACAACAAGACAAACCTGTATGATCCTCAGAAGCAGTTCGATTTTCCGTGGTGGGTATTGTTCAGAATATTTTGGCACTTTGTAAGTATATCGCAGAGAAAAATTTTTTTTAGGTACAATGTGAATCTCGACCTGCCGCCGAAGCAACGGTGGACGGAAATCTCGAAGGCGTACTCGCAGCAAATCAAGAATTTGATTGGGGTGAGAAGCTTCCCTTTGATTCAATGACTTGGCGGCTGAAAGGCAGGGCTTCGTGACTTGGTCAAGGCTAGGTAACGATTAGAGAGCACGCGCGCGGGAAAGACGCAGACCGCGTCGCGGGTGCGAGCTGCCTTTATTAGGTCATAAAGCCCGTCCTCCAGCCACCAAGCCGGTTGAATAAAAGGTTAAGTTTGGAAAGGTATAAAATAAACAGTATCTTGGCGGTGTAAGTAGTTATGAAAAGAAAAAAGTAGCCGAATTTTTTTATCGGTTATATTTCTTGGTTCGCTACTTCCGGTAGGTCCAATCGCGGATTGCATAATTGTTTGAACGCTCGATTTCTGATAGTTCGAAGGAGAACTTTTTTGCTTTAAGAAACAAAAACAGAACTGCACATTATTGGTTTGGTATTGCGCGATCTGCTGCTACACCTGGCCGCAAGTCTCGAATCAAGAAAATCTGAAGAAGCATCTTACTTGGGGAGACTAATCGTGATGATCAAAATAACATATAAATCCCTCTCCAGGTGCTTATCGACTTGGTCACACCAATCTTTCCCAATGCACTTGAATGGGTAGATACCGTATTCGGGGATCTTGAACAGCGTCTGCCTCAGCCATACAAGGATGAAATGATGGTGGGATTTCATGAATCAGAGGTCAAAGCAGCCGTTCGTTTTTTTTTAGTCCATCGCTGAGGATACTGGGATCCCGGTCGGCCAGATTGTGATCTACAACATTTTCTATGAAATTTTCACAGTCTGTACTTCCATCATTGCCCAAGACACACAAGGACATATTGTGCATGCCAGGTGAGCTGTAAATATTTATGTCTGACCAAGTGCAGAATGTTGATCATTTTAGAAATCTCGACTTTGGCCTATTCCTCGGATGGAATCCTAACACACATGAGTGGTCAATCTCAACGGAGTTGAGAAAAATGATCATCAATGTGAATTGGATCAAGGACGGTGGGTCGAGGATAGTTCCTGATTTTCCTCAGAATACAGTATTTACAAAGGAGAACTAAATTCACCATAAAAATGTCGTGCAAGATTTGATATCAATGCCTGGTGTAAAGAAAACGTGAACCAATTTGCAGCGTAGAGGCGCAGCTGCAGACACAGCTAGGCGCAGCTGCGGACACAGCTGCGTCGCGGCACCAGTGCCTATGAGTGGTGCACATTCCCATATGCCGCATTTTTTTTGACTGAAGCAACTACAGAAACTGAATCAAAAGTTTTTCTGAATTCATTACGAGCTCCTTGACTGTGCAGTGGTGAAGTGACAAATAGAAGCTTTGAATGTGAGTTGCTTATTTTCCTTTTCAGGCAAGCTCCTTTACAAATCAAACAATTTTGCTGGATATGTTGGTATCTACAATGGAATGAAGCAAAACGCGTTCTCAATCACTGCAAACGAGCGTTTTATGCTAGCTGGAGGTACCGTCTGCCAGCTGCCTCATCAATCGATGTATCGATTTTCTTTTTAGGATATCTCGGTATGTATCGCTGGATGACCGGATTGGAACCCGATGGTAAATGGATGTCTTGGCTAACAAGAGAGACACTTGAACAGTTTGACAGTGAGTTTCAGCGGAAATGACAAAGAGTATGGCAATAGAGGATTTTTTTAGCCTATGCCGACGCTAAGCATCATTTGATGACAACACCGATGCTTTCACCGGTATACTATATCCTTGGAGGTTACAAACCATGGGAGGTGGGTACTCACATTCACTTTATAAAAGAAGAAGTAGTTGAAGAGAAATCTTAGAGACGAGAACTAGTCTTCAAGCGCAAATGATTGTGTCATTCTACTCCCCTATTTTTGCTGCTTTTTTAGTATACTGAATAAGTCGATTTCGAACCAGGTCTCACATATTGTCTGCCATTGTTATCAGAAAGAAGACAGGCGTACTTAAGTATATTTGTTTCAACGTAATTATTAAGAGTTGGTGCAGAGAGTGAATATGTGGGAATGTATTCGCAACTCGTAAAACGCGTTGCGACAGTGCGCCCCTATCTTAGCATAATTCTTTGGACCAGTTCTCGTCCAAGATTTTTCTGTAGTTATAGTCTTCAAATTGCTGAAAAATAAAAATTAAAATAAAATAATCGAAAAGCAAATCCAAAACATTTGTAAAGAACTCTTATCTTCCCTACACCATTTAGCATTTTTTCTTTTTTTTTCTTTCTTGTTAAATTAACTTTTAGGGTTGCATTATTGCTCGTAGCTTGAACGCCACCGATCTACTCACCGAAATGAACCCAGCCGATCCCAATGGTTGGTATCTCCTGGAGACAAACTATGATCAAGACAAACCGGTAATCATCCTACTAGCCTTGATCCCTCCTTCCTTCAAATTTGTTGATTTGTATTCTAGACGCTCTATCTCGATGATCGCCGCACACCAGGAAATAAATGCATGCAAAAGCTCGGGCAGAAAAACGTGAACTTTGAGGTGACCCTTACCAAGTATTTTGAACTTGTGTCAAATAATATTATTTTCAGGGTATTTTTAATGTGCTTTCGTCACGCACAAATCTGAACAAGCTGACCACCTACACGGTCCTGATGCAGGTCGAAAATGGACGATTTGAAACGATCCAGCAAAGCTGTCCCGGTTATTGCTGGCCGTTCTGATTTGCGACTGTAGCCGCTCCAGCCTTCCCATATAGTGCTTAAATTTGTGTATAAATTGCAAAGTCTCCGTCTTTCTTTGTTTGGCTATCGTCAGTCCGAAATAGCTATTTTATTCAAAAAAAGATCTCAAGAGGCGTGCGAAAAAAGTGTAAGTTCACAAAATGCTTCAAACTGCGAAATTAATAGAAGAAAATGCATCCATGAATTCGTGTCGCAGTATGTCAAGTTTTATCCTTCCCAATACTTTGGTAAGGTTGCCATCGAATCCAAACGCAGATTTTCTCATGTGCAAAAAAAAATTCGGGTGTTATCCGTTCTTCGGATGTTTTCGTCAAGATAAAATATAATTTAATCGAGTCTGGTACCCACGAAAATTTTCCCATGTGTAGCTTTCACCCCAAAAGACGAAATTATAAGAATGAGTTCCATGCGTCTCCTGAATGATGCGGCAAAAAAAATCTAACAAACGAACAAACAAAAACCACAATCAAGTGGTAGTTACTTTTAAAATTCTCTGTTTTAGGTTTTGCACATAAGCAGGTAGGCAAATCACGACTACTTGAATTCGAAAGCTGTTCAGTGATTTGAGATTGTGCGCGCAAAGCATCGTCGGAGAGATCGAAGAAGAGGAAAAAACGGACAGATTGATGACAAAACCAGGGTTGAGCGTGAGGTCAGGCGCGCCCGATCTGGGGGTCGTCTTGGGGGTATGACTGAGGGGGGGGGGTCGTAATTAAGAACCGAATCCGTTAGTTGGGGAGATACTGCGAAGGTGAAGAAGAAATGCGCTAGCCCGATGGATATCGCGATCACATGAAGGAACGACGGTCTTTTTTTCATTTCATTTCATTTCATTCATACGCTCGAGGCGTTCCAAATCAAAAACAATAAAGTGTTAGTCATACATGGAACACAACAGCAACAAATAACTAATCACCACGTCGTCCTAGGTCCAGTCTAAACGACTTACTAAGAAAAGTAATGTAGTAATAATGTAATGATAAGCTTGCATGACTTGTATCTCGGCTGCACGTTATCTTGTGCTAGCATAGACTCTATGGAGAAGTACCCATGCCCCCTCGTTTGCCAGCAAGGAACGATCTTTATATAGCATGTACGACTCTCGATAAATCTCGGCATAGTTGATAAATTTAGATCGATGTCTTGTAGCCAACGCCGGGATTACAAACTTTATTGGCTAACGTTTCGGCTTCTCGCCTTCGTCAGAGCCTGAATGGGGTATCGATTCGTAACCCAGACGGGCAAATGTCTTTACGGCTCTACGAAAAAGGTCTAAGCCTTAATTTTGGCCAGCAGTTTTGCAACAGCCACTTACCACTCAAACAATTCCTTGGTAGAACGACCGCTGGGCTGACCGTATATGGAAGTACTAAATGGAACGTCAGCACAGTTGGCTCAGATAAGGAGATAGTTCTCTCGTGATTGCGAGGCATTCTTCTTTTCGGTTAATTTGTGGGTTCCTAGCATGAATCCACAATGCTTCTAGAAATTTACGAGCAGCCGTTTTTGGTTCACGTGCTAATATTTTGACTGTTACTCCAAAACTCGATCCTTCATGCCTTAATACCCTGTGTGTTCCTAACGGAGTGGAAGTTCGTTGCTTATCCCGGCCATCTAGGTGTTCTTTTACACGAATACATAGGGGACGTGCGGTTTCACCTACATACTCGTCTCCGCAGACGGTACAGGAAATGGAGTAGACCACTCCAGTTGACATGCAGTCTCCGCTTTTACCTCCTGGACATATGATACAATTGTCCGTAGTACAGCTGGTGTCATACATGCGATTTCTTACTAAAATGCGCTTCAGGTTGTTTGGTGGCACTTCTACAATCGACACCAAATCACTAATCCTACTTTCTTAAGGCTCCTGCGCATTGCTGTACTTATCTCAGTGGAGATAAACGGGACGTAAAAAGGAATCTTATCGTTATTGGGTTGGTCTCGCAGACTTCTTCCGTGTTTCGATGTACCTGTAAAGTTCCCGTACCCATTCGAAGAAGCTATGCAACGCGCAAGCTCGAGTGATTCTTTTCTTTCTTGCTCTCCACTACACACATGCGAAGCTGTTCGGAACATATTTTTGATAACAGCTCTTTTTGTCCAAGGTGGATGAGCGGATTGAAAATGAATTAGGATATTCTTATTGCTCGGTTTACGATACCATTTCGTCGCGTGCATACCCGTGGTGATGTTCACTTGAACGTTTAAAAATGGTAACCAATCGTTTTCCGGCTTCTCTCTCGTCAGTCTTATATTCTCTGATTGTTTATTGAGTAATTCAAAACATTCATCAAGCTCTGCCTGTGTCGCGCAAATTACAAAGCAATCATCAATATACCTACAGTAGAGTAAGGGACGGTATTCTAAAACAAAATATTAGAAATATTCTATTCAAAATATTAGCACGTGAACCAAAAACGGCTGCTCGTAAATTTCTAGAAGCATTGTGGATTCATGCTAGGAACCCACAAATTAACCGAAAAGAAGAATGCCTCGCAATCACGAGAGAACTATCTCCTTATCTGAGCCAACTGTGCTGACGTTCCATTTAGTACTTCCATATACGGTCAGCCCAGCGGTCGTTCTACCAAGGAATTGTTTGAGTGGTAAGTGGCTGTTGCAAAACTGCTGGCCAAAATTAAGGCTTAGACCTTTTTCGTAGAGCCGTAAAGACATTTGCCCGTCTGGGTTACGAATCGATACCCCATTCAGGCTCTGACGAAGGCGAGAAGCCGAAACGTTAGCCAATAAAGTTTGTAACAATCCCGGCGTTGGCTACAAGACATCGATCTAGATCTTTATATAATTCATAAAAGCAAACCGGAAGTTCGGGTGGCGGGTATACTGGCAAACCCCGCCCAACACGGTTTGCTGGGGAGGGTCCTGAGCTCCAAGTATAAACAGGAAAGTAGGTTGAGCAACGTAGTAAGAATCAGCAAGCCGTATGAATAGTAATAAGATGACAGTCAGGCTGGGCCCATAACTACATGGTCTAGTCAAGTTAGTAGAAGAACAAATCTAGCAAAGCAGAGAAAAAAAGTAGAAACATGTTGAACACATGCACTGATTGAATCGGAAATGCGCACGGATGGCAAGAGAGCATAAAGCGATTAGAAGCGAGCTCCACTAAACGCACAACCACCAGAGCTGACGTAATGAGACAGACATAAATTAACCAGCCATAAATGAAGGTTCCAAAACCAGGCAAGGAAACCTGAAAAAGAAAAGAACACTTTTAGGATAGATGAGAGAAAGGAAGAGTAATGAAAAAAAAAGTAATCAAAAATAAAGACTTGCGAAATCCAACTGGTAAGCTGTTCTTATTGAACAAAAAACCTAAATTAGACTTAAAACGAGTAAAAAAGTATCAACAAAGGTACGGCCCTCGGACGGTCATAAACAACATACTGATTTTTTCAGTTAATCTTCTTTGCCGTACAGGTTTTTAACAATGATACAAGAATGGAGGATTTTCAACATACTATTGTCCACAATGGAAGTTTCAGCCAAAATACAATCTTCATCTCTTTTTCCTTGACATATGAGGTCGACAAGGAAGGTTGCTGTGTACAATGGGTATTATTTCCGTAATCAGCATGTCAGATTACGTCTATGAGCTCTAAAGTCATTACCTACAGCATTTTCTAGTGTTTCGCAACGTCTAGAAAGCGTGATTTTCAAACATGATTAACTTGGCTTCAAAAGTGAAAATTGTCAGCTTTTTTATAGTCGTAACAAAGTATCGTTCCCTACAAGTCTGTGCTAGAAATCAGGCTTCATATCGCTTTCAAGTAGTGAAGTAAGAAGTGCTGCCAAATTTCCAACCGGTGCGTTCTTCACATTAAGTGCTTCAACTTTACGGATTACTACAAGGCAGAAACAAGTCGAAACAAGCTCAAACACTTACTGTGGAATCTTCGAGAGTTATGCTAGCGAATCACATAAAACTTGGATAGAAGAGATTCCTCGAAAATAAAGTTAATGGGGTCAGGCGCAACCCCTCAAAAGGTCAGGCCGCCTGGGCTTTTGAGGGGTTGCGCCTGACCCTGTTAACTTACTTCAATATTCAAAAATCGCTCCTTTTTTAGTGTGAGTTTTGAGCGCAAAGCGTCTTCTTGCTATATTGAAAATTTGGAGCCAAACACTCCACCCCTGCAAAAAATATAACTCTGAAGAGAGGGCTATCCAAGTTCAAAACTTGCCGTCAAGTTGCGTGTAGTTGTGCAATCGCAGAAAGTTGGGCCTGCTGCCAAAAAACAAGAACCCTCCAATAAAGGCTGGTTTCTTCAACATAATACAGTCTAAGGTCCTGGAGGGAAGCGGAGGGGTCATTTTAGGCGCTTTCACAGGGGGGGGTCGTTTTTGAAGGACTAGTGCCTGACCTCTTGCTCAACCCTGGACAAAACGATATAGTGCCACTTTTTCGCAAATGAACTGAAGAACCTACCCTTCAATCCACGATTGCTGCTACCTCTTTTCTACGTCTCTGACCTGCGACACGCATGGCTAACATGTTGGCAACATGCAACAACAAGTTGTATGTCGTCAACAAGTCAACCATGCTTGTCGCAAGTCGGGTACACAGAGCGGTAACAACAAAAGTGAAACGCACTGTACGTTGAATCCATCCCTCTATCGTGGCCTTGCGGTACAAACAACACTTGCGCGTGAAAATGGCCATGCACGCAGCGCATGACCATTTTCACGGAAGCGTGTGTTTTGTGACATTGATTGTAACATCACACGGGCATTTGACCGCTCAATATACAGTGCTGGCCATCATAACTTATAATAACGGGCTAAGGGTGTTTACGTGTTTTTGTGTGTGTGTGTGTGTAAGTTTGTCTGTCTGTCACGAAATTCGTAGAACGTGTTCCAGCCAATCTTCTGAGCCCAAATTTTGCATAGCTCATGCTACCAACATGAGAGTCCACTGTACAAAAACACGAGCGTTTTGCCAAGATTTCACCTGATCATTTGAGAAGATTTTTGCACAGAAATGTAGCCCATGATGTTTGTTGTCCTTATGGCAACTACCAAGCCATAAAAATTTTAAAAACCCACTCAAATTTGCATCTGTTCTTCTGGAAAAAATTTCATTCAGGCGAAAGAACCGATCTCACACGAAAAACCTCTAGGGATGAGTAGTTGTTTACGAATCATTCGTGATAGCTTACATAGCGCGGTGAGTTTCAATGCCATTATTATGCGGAAATGAGCAAGGCATACAGAAATAGGGCCAGTGCGAGCCTCTGCGAAGCAGAGGTGACGCACTGGTAATTATATAGCCACCCTAGAAATCGTCGTAATTTTCGTTCTTGTCAATGAATCTGTCTGAAACTTTGCTGTATTGTGCGCATGTCAACTTACCATGACTTTTCAAAACGGCTTCCAGTCTTGTTGAGTTTGAACGGAGAAAAACGTAAAAATTCGAAAAAGCCCTCTTTGAAAGTTGGACAAAATTATATAGCCACCTGGTTTTTCTAATCACTATCGCATTCGTTGACTCTCAAATTTTTTTGTGCAATTTTTTTTATCCTTGCATTCTTCCCTCAGAGGGGGTCTGCTGCTCTGGTTAGTCTCTTCCAGACTTTTCGATTTTCAGCTTGATTTTCTTCTATCTCAAGTTCTCTCAAGTCCGCTTTCACTTTGTCTATCCATCTCAATTTCGGCCTCCCTCTTGGCCTCTTTCCAGGTACTTCGACTGACATCACCAACCTAGCGACATGATCTCCCGCTCGTCTTCTAACGTGTCCATACCATCGCAATCTCTTCTCTTGTATCTTCTTGACGATAGGGTCGACCTTCATCGTAGCTCGTATGGTGTCGTTAGTGACGTGGTCCAGCATCGTGACTCCCGCTGTCCATCTTAGCATGCGTGTCTCCATCACACCAATCCTTCGTTCGTCTTCTCGCGTGCACGGCCAACATTCGCTGCCATACAGAGCAGTCGGGCGGACTGTAGTGCGATACAGCTGGGTAGCTTGAGTGGCATCTTCTTATCGCACAGGACTCCTGTGTCACTTCTCCATTTCGACCAAGCTGCATTTATTCTGCTGGTTATTTCGTCCTGAAGCGTACCATCTGCGGCGATGCGACTTCCTAGATACTTGAATGTCGTGGTCTTCTTAATTGGGGCGCCTTCGATTTTTATAGTTCCAGGCGTTTGAGGTTCCACCTCCATGTACTCGGTCTTGCTGGTGTTGATCTTCAAGCCGTGCAGCTCAAGTTCATTTTTCCACTTCTGCACCTCGGCCTCCAGTACGTTCCTGCTTCTTGCCATCAGCATCACATCATCTGCGTACATCAGAGCCCACGGAGGTTGCCGTATGAAGTCTCTAACTATCGTATCCACTACCGTGATGAAGAGGAGGGGTGACAGTACGGAGCCTTGATGAACTCCGGCGTTGATCTGGAACTCTTCTGATGGCCCTGCTGCTGTTTGTACGTGGCTTCTGGCATCTTTGTATATCATCTTGATCCATCGCACATATTCTTCCGGCACCATGTGCTTTCGTAGTGACCACCATATGATGTCATGCGGCACTTTGTCGAACGCCTTCTCCAAGTCCAGGAACGCCGCGTGCAGCTCGCATTGCTTTTCCCTGCTTCTTTCCATCATTATTCTGACAGCGTGGATGGCATCTGTTGTACTGCGGCCTTTGACGAATCCACACTGATTACGGACTAGATCCACGATGTTTCGCAGCCGTGCTTCTAGAATTCTTTCGAAGATCTTCAGGGTGTGGCACATAAGTCGGATGGGGCGGTACGTCGAGCAGTCAGCTACGTCACCTTTGTTCTTCCATATTGGTACCGTCACGCTTCTGCACCGTCGTTCGGAATTTTCTTGGCTTCTATCACCCGATTGAGCAGTCGTGTTAGCCATGTAACTCCAGCTTGACCACATGCTCTCCAGAATTCGTTGGGGATGTCATCGGGGCCTGTCGCCTTGCCGTTCTTCGTCTTCATTATTGCGGCGCGAACTTCGCCTTCGGTGATAGTTGGAATTGGTCCATGCACAGGCTCAGCTGTAGACGTCGCTGTGTACTCGTGGCTTGTAGGCGCTGTCTCGGCGAATTGTGCTCTCCATCTTTCTCTTATCTCTTGTGGCTTCCTGAGCATTCCCCCGTGTGCGTCCTTGATACTGTAGAAGTGCTCTACATCTTTTGTGGCGATTGATCTTGTTTTCGCGAGTAGGTAAATGTCTCGTTCGCCTTCTCGAGTGTGCAGCTTCTTGTAGAGTACCTCCATACACGCTTCTTTTGCCTCTTTGACACTCTTCTTGGCTGCCCGCTTCGCGTCTGAGTATCTCTGCCGTGCCTCTTCTGATTTCAGCTTCTGCCACATTCTGTACGCTGTCTTTTTCTTCTTGATCATGGATTGCACTTCTTCGTTCCACCACCAGGTTTCTTTGTCAATTTTTGCCCTTCCTGGCTTCGTACGTCCTAGTAGACTGCTTGCTATCTGATGGACATTCTTCTTCAACTTCTTCCAGGAGTCTTCTGATTCTTCTTCCAACTCTGGTAGGGCAGATTCCATGGCTGCTCTGATGTGGTCCTTGTCTTTGAGCTTCCACCATTTGATCCGTGCTACTTGCCCTGTTGTTGTTCTTCTTTGCTTGTCGGCTGGAATATTCAGATCCAGAATTAGTGGTCGATGTGTATGCAGTTAAAGCTTATCATTGCCCACGCTCAACATGAAAATGAGAGACCACGCTCACGAAAAGGCAGCTCCCTAGCAGGATTTTTTTCTTCACACACTTCGAAAATAAAATTTGCCGCAAAATGAGCGCAGTAGGTGCATCCGCACCATTTCGCTCCTCGGTACCGTCAACTCAAATCTGATGCTTCAAATGCGATTTTTTGATAGTTGCCTTGTTTGGAGTCTGTTTGTGCATGTGAAAGCTCTTTCCACGGCTTTCAAATTTTCTAGAGACTTGTATTTATTCGTCATATGCTCGTCTGCGGAAAATCTACTTTGTGGCAGTCGGCAGAGTTCACTTTTATATATGGTTGAACGTGGTTTTGTAGAAACACTTTCCACATCTGTCAAACGAATCTTGAACCATGCGTTCAATTCCTAAAATATGCACTAGAGTTCTTTTCAGAATGAACACGTCTATAGAAGACCCCAATTCTGGAAAACCGCCGAAACCCTTCGAGATGACTCGCGAGTCGCTTGAACTACTCGACAAAGAGGAACTTGTTGAAAGGTTTGGTTGGTTCCAGTTCTCAGTGACATTCATAGAGAGTCTTATAGATTGTTGTCGTTGACCGACCAACTCCAAGATGCGAAGGAAAGAGCACAAAGGGCGAAACGGCGAGAGACACTAGCACGTTTACAGTCCATCCAAAAAGACAAAGAACTTGGTGACCTCAAGGTAGAACGTCCCTCGATGCTTTTTGATAGTTTTTGTTGTTATTTGCCTTTGAGTTACGCCGGATTAAGCACATATATTTTTACGCTTAATTCCAGAGTAAAAGTTTTCGATAAATTTAGCACGAAAAGTAACATTTTTGATGCGTTATCTTACAAGAGAAGGAACCAACTTAATTTGGCAATTGTAGACTTGTTGTATATCGCTGGATACATCTTTGAACGCTGATTCCAATCTTTTTCCGTTTTTGCAATGCAACTCTCCGAAAGAAGCTATGACCATTTGAATGTTCAAAAATGCCATCACTTAAGTGGCATAAAATTAGCACAAAAACACCTGAAAGTCAGCAATCAATTTTGTGTCCAGTATATTGACTACAAGGAGCGAACACAACCATTGGAAATCCGCATCGGTGTTTTGTAGAGCTTTTCTCTATTTTTATGCCACTTGGAGCTTGACAAATTTGGATTTGGGATGCTCGTAACTTTTTTTCTGGAAGTAGCATTGCAGAAAAGGAAAACAGATTTGGGATAAGCGTTTGAAGACGCGTCTGGTGATATACATCTCGCCTACAATCGCCAACTTGGGCTGAATCCTTCCATGTTTAGTAGACCGATCGCAAGTTTACATGGGTTAATACATGGTGCAAATTTTCATTGATGGGTCTTTCATATCCTTTGCAATCACATCTATTTTGTTCCTTCATTTTGCTTTTCTCAAAGCTGTTGGAGCAGCGCACAAGCCCCTAGTTTCAGAGAGAACGCAGTGATGCATTCTATGGTAATGGCAACCCACGAAGCCAACTGCTTGATCCTTTTTATTACGAAGCTTATACAGCTGTGAAAGAGAAGGTGAAAGGCCGCGAAGAAACGCTAGCAGAGCAGGAAGAAACGATCAACACATTACAGAGCAGTGAGCAAACGTATGTTTTGATTCATTCAAGTTTTTTTTATACTTCCAAGTTATTATGTCTTGCTATTTATATGTTTGGAGATACAATAGGTTAATTTTTTTGCAAAATCACAAACGATACGTGAGCGGGTTGCAGGAAGCGACTTCGTCGATATGTGAAATCAAGGGAAGATGTATCTAAGAAGAGCAGAGAGTTCGAGCTCAATCTCAAGCGGAAAAAGCGTCTAGGTGACCGCATAACAACAGCAAATGCAGCTTTGCGAGCAGTTTTGGAGGAGACGAAAGGTGATATTGACTTGAGGTGTAAGGTCTTCTTGAATCAGTGTTTGCAGGAACTACCGAAGAAATTGTGAAGAAAGACGCACAAATTGCCGAATTATACAGAGAAATCATTTCGTTGCGTGGAGAGCTTTCGGAAGACGTTGTCTTTGATATGGATGCAGATGTTGGCGAAAAGCCGTTGCCAGGTTCTGATATGGGAGAAGAAGAAGAGGAAGAAATTGAGCAAATCAGTGGAACTGAAGAAGCTGAAAGCGACGATGATGTTATCATACTCGATGATGTGAGTTTTTGAATTGCTTCATTGGTATCTAATCTAGCTTTAGTATCTTATTTGTATTTGTTTATCACAGTTTGTTTATAAGGGTAGGATACCAACTTATTTTGGCAATTTGAAAGACTACTTAGTTTAGTCACATTTTTAGACACTGATTCCAAAACTTTTTTTCCTGTTCTGCGGAACAATTCTGCGAAAGTAGTCACGAGGTTTGAAAGTTCAAATTTATCGAGATATATCGCATAAAATTGGCAAAAAGCTGTACGAAAAAAAAACGTGGAAGTAAAATCAATCTTGTATCCTGTACACTATGTATAAGGAAGGAACACAACCAGTGGAAGTGCGGATAGGTGTTTTTGTAGAGGCTTTGCTAATTTAATGCCACTCAAAGCTTACTAAATTTGGATTCTTATACGCTCACTTCATTTGTAGAGTTGTTCCGCAGAAAAGGAAAGCAAATTTGGAGTTAGCGTCTAAAGACGCGTCTAGTTTATACATATTCTTTAAGACTCAAGCCATTGTAACTTGATATCCTTCCCTTATTTAGTTGTGATGTATATCTTCTAGGAAGAAATGTCGTTTTTTATTCTTATACTTACTACATTTTTTCAGAGTGATGTTGACTTGTCAGTACTGCATCGATCCAGCGAGGACGGAGACAATGGTAATCATTCTGGTAGCGAAGATCGCGCTGTTTCAGTTGACGGCGACACGTTGAAGATTACTATTTGAATGTTACAGCTGTCATATCTTCTCAATTGTTCCAGAATCATTATTGTTTGTTGTTGTGTTGAAGATGATAATTTGAATAGTCTAAATACAACGCTTATAATTGCTTTTACAAATGAATCTTGGAGAAAAATTGTGATTATTTGGAAAGCTGGTCGACGAAAGCCGTCTATCCACAGTATAAATGTTCCATACTTAATCACTCCACAGATTTAGCCATAGTTTTACCAGATGGATATCCACATGTATGTTTCGTTTATTTAAACCCAAGTTGCATTCATTATTGCAATCTGTAGTCCACCAATGCGCGGGCACTGCCACAGGGCACAATGCGCATTGGTGCATGGTCTGTGGCAGAGGTCCGCGCAGGCGCAGCTTGTTGGCTATGTGCTTCGTCATTCGTCAGTTCAGTGAACTGAGCAATAACGGAGCGGTTGCTCAATTCATCCGCTAGATCCATTTCGTCCCTACTGGTCAGTTCACTGCACTGACCAATGACGAAATGGATCAAGTATGGCGGGTGATTGTTCCGCCCGTAGGTTTCATATTTGTGGCAGTCTTGCATAATCTACAGAAAAATGAATTTGAAGCGGTTTTCGGTGTGCTCGATTATCGCGTTGTCCTCGCTTTCGTCGGACTCTTCAGATCTATGAAACGCTCCAGTGATCATCATCCACCCGAATCCCCGCATAAAATCCCAAAACGTGAACGCAAAACTCTAAGACGTAATCGTGAAGACTTCGAGGCATTAGATAAAGAAGCCCTGATAGATAAGTACGTAGTTTTGATTTTACTGGCGCCTTCATTGTTGATATTTCTAGAATTGTGGCAACAACTAGCGAATTGGATGAGATCAACAAAGTGATAAACACTGCAAAACGTCGTGAAGCTTTGTGGCGACAAAAGGCTAGCGAGAAGGAAAAAGAGATCAAAGAGCTCATTGTAAGTGCTAAATTCTAGTTTTTCTAACATGATCAACGAAGCTGGTGCTAGTTTGGCGCTGCTATAGATCGTTTGTAAAATCGTGACAACGGATTTGACTGCGATCTTTGCGCCGACATGAGCAGAAAACACATGCAAAACGGCATCACCTCAACTCCCAGCTCAGTCTCTTCCAATGTCTAAATACTGTCATATATCGGCAGAAAAACCATTGATTAGAAATGGAAACATAGAAAATGCGGTTGCCGGGTCGCGTGCGTTTGCGCGCGGTTTCGCCATCGGCACGCTTATTCGAATGCCCTACATGTCGAAGCCTATGTTTCACGGTCTATAGTTGTCCTCAGTCAGCGTTAAATCGTGTAGTTGCACTACATTTTGATTCTGAACTGAGAAAGGTTAGAAGAACCCAGTTATAGTCATTATTGCATAGCTTACTCTCTTCTATACTGTATCCATATTCAGAAAAGATGAAGAAGTCACAACTGCTAACCACTCTGATTTGGCTGTTACGAATTTATCATCTACATTCTCTATCTTATTTGGAGTGAGTTCGACTCGAGCGGCTTGGCTTCCCCGCGGCTGCCTCTCGTGGACCGTGCGCCTCACGAACGTGTCGTTTGATCATTTCCGACACTATGCGTGGAAAAAGGCTCAGAAGCGAGCTTCAGTCGTTGATACGTGGAAAAATGGCCAGAGAACGCGTTCGCAAACGCGGCGCAAGTTTCGGACGGTGACCGCGCAGCAGACCGCTCGGGTCGGGCTCATATCAAATGAAATAGAGATTAGGCATAGCAGGACTACACTGAGATATGATTGTTAATGTACTACAAGTCACTCATTTTTAGAAGGAACGCGACAAAGCTTACTACAGTGGTATAAGCCATGGTCCTGCTCAACGCGATCAGCACATTGATCCATCTCTCTATGAAGCTTTCATCTCAATGAAAGATAAATTGATGGCAAAGGACAAAATCATTGCTGAGAATCAGGAGCTTATCAACGCATTATCGCAAGATCAGCAACAGGATAAGTTAGTATTCCAGTTTTTTATGTGACTTGTATGTCTATAACTACTATTTGGTGATTCGTCCGCCTAGGATGGTCATGCAATTTTTGAAAGGAAGATATACGTTTGTGAAGCGACTTCGTGAGGATGAAAAGACCCTGCAAGCAATTGCCACGTTGGAAAATAATTTGGCGTTGGCGCAAGCTGCTCTACGTGCACTGAGACAGGAAAAGAAAGGTATGACTATTGTTTCATTCATAGAAATTTTGTGTAATATGCCATGCTTATTATGCAACCTTTTTTCTTCTGCAGATTATAAGTCCGAAATGGCTGAAAGAGATGCAAAAATCAGCGACTTATGCGCAGAATTGCATCATCTGCGAGGCATGGTTTCTGAAGAGTCTGGTTCCAACAAATCTATGGATGCAAAAGAAGAGGCGCCTGCCGTGGTTGAACAGCCTGCATATGAGAAGCCCGTAATCGGATTGTCTGCTTGTGCAAATGATGCTGATCATCCCGAGGAAGTGGGTACATGAGGAGGTTTTGCCGTAGCATTAGTGACCATCTTCATTAGCATTTATTAGTCAAGCTATCTTTTTCTTTTCCATTAGCGTAGATATAATGTTTTCGATTAGTGTTTTTCCCTCCCTCTATCTTTCTAACGTGAATATCAGCTATTCTAGCCTTTTAGAAAAAACAAAGTTTTCCTAGATAAACAGGTAGTATTCATACTCTGCGTCTATAGTCCAGATTGAGTGCGTGCCATTCCGCATTTCCAAATTTCAGCCTCATCTTGGCACAAAATTTTGTTGCCATTCCACTTCTGTTACTTTCTTTGTTTTCGCTACCGATGTATACGATGATCACATTCCCATTAGAAGCACTAGTAAAGTGCATGTCAAACCGCAATATTCTACTAACTGACAGCGTGCAGACTTTTGTTTCTTGCGGTTTCTGGTTTGCGTTTTGGTTAGAGGGAGTATGAACGCAAGTTTATAGTAGCTCGACTTACTTGGAAATATGATGAAGAAGTGCGGTGCGCTTATGCAGTGCGTGGGTCATGTACTAGCTCTACAAAATTTTATAGAAAGGCAGATCTACAGCACTAGTTATAGAGCATTTGAACAAAATTGTATACCATCAATATATCTGTCGTTATTCCAAAAAATCCAAAAGTTGCTTGTAAGTAATTTTTTCATCCAAGTCCTATATGCCAAGCGAATTTCTTTCAACATGGGCGTCCTCCATTTCTTCAGGACAGCAGTAAGAGTGATTATCTTAGCGATTAGAGGGACCGGGATCCTACTGTATTACCTGTTTTATCCGCAAACTTCTTTGTACTGTACTTCGTTTGTTTGGATCTGCTCAAAATCTTGCCTTTTTGTAATCAATGTAATAAAGATTTTGGATTGATTTCATACTTTTCATTCAATTTCCGAATCTTTTTCGAAAAGCTCTCACTCATATGAAAAAAGAGTAATTTTGCTACCGATGATATGCATCCACGATTCGCTTTCTAAGATTCAACTGCCTTGGCTGCTGGAATGCGTGGATTTGTGACCTGATTAAAGCAGCTCGCGCCCTCGGCGCTATCTGCGTCTTCGTCGCGCGCGTACTCTCTGTCATTATCTAGCCTTAATTGGGTCAAGAAGCCCCGCCTTTCAGTAGACAAGCCAGTTGAATCAAAAGGTAAACTTTGTCTTATTTCTGTCTTTAGCATGATGCGAGTATTTCAAGTTACAGCAAGAAGGAATATCTTTAGAGCAAAGGAATCGAAGTGGACCTGTCAGTGCTGCATGGAGCAACCAACGATCACGAACAAAAGTTCTCTCGCAGTTCTAGTGAAGAGCGGTGTGTATCAGTTGAAGATAACGGTTCACTGAAAATCACTGTCTGAGCTAGCTATCTCGTCTCAAGTAGCGTGTATAACTAACCCCGTTGACATACATATCAGATCTTTAGGAGCGTAACATTTTTTCTTTGCTTTACTTACAAATTTCTCATGAATTTCTAACTGGTTCTTGTTGATTAATTCAATAAAGAAGGTATCTCACTTGAATATTTTTCAAAATGATTGACCTCAGCTTGTTGGGCACAGGTCTTTTATTGTTTCCTCTAATCATGGCCTCATTCTTGTTTACAAAAAGTGATCGTAAGGTGTTTACATAGTTTAGTAGATTCGAATTAGCTGTGTTGACAGCATGATAAACATTGTTGTGCTTTAGAAGACAACAGTCACCGTACTAAAGACATATTTCTAAGTTTTGCATATAGCACTTTTTTTACGCGCAATTGGTGTTAGCAATTCGAGCACACTCTCAAATGCAACTGATAAAGGTCAGCTGATATCACTTTACACTCCGCGAAAAATTTCAGAAGCATGTTCGAGTTTCAAATTTGCTTAATCAAAAGATAAAGGATTCTATGCGAGATTATCTGAAATGGTCTAAATTAGCAGAGGTTTTTTTTTTCGACATCTCTGCCGCCAAGATATGATATATGGTCTCACTCTTGTTTCCCTGATAGTGGGTAAGGTTACCGGCTTGCAAAAAACTAGAGCATTCAAAAAAATTGTAACGGCCTTTATCTAGGAAAAATTTTATTGCTTTCATCCTTCTGTCCTCTTCCGCAAGAAAAAAAAATCGTGTGAGATGGCAATTTATTAAATGTGGAACAGTCAGCTTCTATCTTTTTTTTGGTGGTTTCGAACATGATACTCATTAACCTATCAAATCGGCTTTAATGGATAAACTTGAGAATGAGAACATCGTATGCATATTTATTTGAGCGACGACAGGGCCCGGCACGAGGTCGGCAAATGACAAGCTGGAAATCGTTTTGGGGCCAAAAAGCAAAGGGGAAATCGTTTTTGCCGGGTCCGGGGCGGAGCCCCGGAAAAAAATTGGTAGTTCATGCTCGCTACTTACTATCTTGGCATGTTATGTGCCTCAACAGGCGAACACTGGAGTTCGCGCGCGTCAAACCGCGCCGTCGCTAATTGCCGCACGCGCGACGTCGCCCAAGTGATGCTATTTGTAACAGCATACATGACTAGTTCTCAATGTATGTGTAACGATATGAGACCAAATTTTGTATGCGAACGGAGAGAGGCTAGTGGAAACATAGTATGAAAAATTATGAAAAACTTATGTGAACGGAACGAGTAATTAGCATTTTTTCCGAGAATTTCGCAAAAGTGGTAAATGAAGATGTGAATTCAAACGGCTCGTTTAAACGCGCAGATGAACGACATGGTATGAAACTTGGTAAGTAAATGCACACGGGCTTGCAGGGCTTAACTGAGGAGATTCATTGAAAAATTATGTGACTGAAGGTTGTGGCAAACTTTTATCTGAAAATTTTGCGCTACCAAAGAAATGGAAAAATGGCTCGTTTGCAACGCAGAGGTAACGAAATCGCGCGGGATTCGGTGTGTATATGCGCAATAGGACTAAGTAATAAAGTATGAAATATTATGAAAAACTTATGTGAATGAAGAGCGTGCTTAACTAATTTCCAAATTAGGTCGGCATTTGCCGACCTAATTCCCACCTGAGGTCGGCAAAACTCTCAATTCACATAATTTTTTCAAAATTTTTACATAAATCTGTTGTACACCTAAAGTTTACTACATGGTGAAATTTTGGTTCCGAAGCTCCTCCTCTTGTCCTTGTTAGAGCCCAAAATCGCATCAGCAGCCTAGCTTTCTAAGATGGAAAGCGCGCCCCAGTCAATCGATACGCGCGGGAACGGCGTCTCTCATTCCTATGACTGCGTTTCTTTGATATTTTCTCATTCCTTAATCATTTTTCTTGCTTATTTTTCTTCATGTTTCCTATCTTGATACAGCTGAGGAGTAATTTGAGGAATTTGAGCAATTTGGGCGCTGTTGAGCGCTTTTAGGCGAAGTGTGGCCGGTAATCTCGTCGCACAAGCACAAAACGTCATTTTTGGGCTCAAGGGGGTATTCGTAAAATTTATTGGGATCAAAGGGGAATTTGTTTTGGAAAATCCGTTTTCCCACCTCGTGCCGGGCCCTGAGCGACGATCCTGCAGTTTCTGATGAACGACCGTTCCACACAATGTTCCATTTATCAACCAAACTTGATTTTTTTTTTGAGATTTATGCGTGGTTAGAGGCAATTTCCCCTACCACTCGGACAGCTCACTGGAAATTCCGCTGGTCAAGCAAAATTTGCAGCGATTCCGCAGGATTTTGTCTACTATTACAAAAGTGGAAACGTTGAAAATGGTAATTTCCGCAGGATATTCACGTTAGACTGTTGAAAAAAACGGGAACGCGTTACTTTTTGCGAAACGCTGCGAAAATCCTAAAAAATGCGAGCGGTTCCGCAGCACTTTGACCTTTGACTTGACCAGCACGTTCACGAAACTTCCGCAGGTGACCAGGCGGAGCTTTCCCAAACGTTCTGCGGAAGTCCCGGTCAGTTGTCTAAGCAGACTTTTTGTTAACCTTATAATTGTATGCGGAATTGGTTCTTGATATATTTTGCCATATTAGCATGATATCATGCATTCTCCAAGTTCCTCATCACTTCATTCCTTCATTAGGCCAACCGTGCAAGGCGGACGGTCTTTCTGGTGAGTGCATCCTGACCGGAGTGAATTCAACGCGCCATTCCGACTGACACGCGCGGTCGATTAGTGATGTTTGGTTCCGAAGCGAATGTCATCTCTCAGCGCACCATCTTTTGGTTATATCTGTACTACTAGTCTGGCGCTTCGCAGAAAACGACTTCGTTGTTGATAATAGCGCTATTTACGATAACTCATGTCAGCAATCACCGCCAATTATTTAGAGCAGTGCAGTCCGGTGGCGGTACAGCACGTCTCTAAAGCAGTTTGAGCTGAGATTTGATTACTATGCTCTACCGCAACCGGTCTGCTCCAGTTCAGATTCAAACATGTCCTGACGTGACTACAGAAGTGGAAACGAGTATAGAACATGGCGCGCAGTATCGATGCCACCAGCAGAAATCCTTGAAAGTCATTGAGACGGATGATACACTGCTTCCATTTTGCGACGATTGTCGCCTTCCGCGTGCCCCCCCCCTCCGCGCATACTCCGCGCGATTTCAGTTGCCGTGTGATCTGGCAATTTGATAGAAGTCTTCGGACCTATCACTCCCGACAAACAGTGTGTAGAAGTTTCGTGGATGAAATGCCCTATCTGTTGTATTATATTCAAAGCGTCTTTACGATATCATAAGAAATTCGAGTATTGCCAAATCGTGCGGCGATTAGAATAGCTTGAGGTATGACCGGAGCAGGATGAACAGTTTGTCGCTATACATTCCGTATGCGTAGAATGTTTCATACAAAGTGGATAATAAATTAAAATGCGTCTGCTGCATTGGAAATAGATACACTTTCAAGCTTCGCAGCTAGTAGAAATTTCGTCAAGGGATCACTCAGTCAGGGCCCGGCACAGATCGTCTGGAAGCAAGCTGGACTTCGTTTTTGAAACAAACAGCAAAGGGGATATCGTTTTTGATGAGTCGGAGCCGAGCACCAAGAATAAGCGCCATTTAGTCGAACACAAGCTTTTCGGACAGGTTACCACACGACTGACATGCTCTATCGTGCATGGCGAAAAGTGCGCGCGATTTGAAAGCAAGGCTTAAATAAACAAATTGCTTGTTTACAGCGCGCACAGAAGCATATGACACCAAAATTGAACTGTATGTATAGAAAATTATTTGCGAAAGTATTACGTAAAAAGATTTGAAAACTTATGTGAAGTAATACCTTTTCCAAAATTAGATCGTCTCCAGACGGCCACCAGACGATCTGAGATCGTCTGGAGCATATATTTTCGCCACTTCACATAAGTTTCGGATCTTTTTAGCATGGACGGATTCCCCGGTCAAAAATCTATCCCTGAGCATGAAGACATTTTCATATCATTGCCTCTCCTTTGTTTTTTGCCTTCATTTCTTCTCGCTTTGTTAAATATCGCGCTCTAATGCCAAAGTCTTGTGCATGCATAGTATTCAGCTCTAATTTAGATTTTCACTCTTATCCTACGTCTTTTCTTTCAAGCTAGTAAATCTTTTTTGTTTTCATCTTCTCCTAAGCAGGTAGGTCAAAGGGGACTTCGTAAAACCCCCGAAAGTCAGGGGAGACTTCGTTTTCAGAAACCCTGGAAACCGACTCGTGCCGGATCCTGCACTCAGTACGTGAATTTGTTTTCAATGGTGAATCTGTAAGCAGCTAGATCAATCGTCATAGGGCTCCTCACAAGTGATTTGTATTCACTGGTGAATCTATGATGACGATATCGGCCCAATCTTTTGCCTTTACGAAAACGTTACGTGGGAAGATGCAAATTGAGCATCTCTTGCGCAATACTTCCAAATCCCCACTCTTTTCAGTGCTCTACTCCGCCCTCCTTTGCATTATTATTTCGACATTTTTCGTCGTTATGGCATCGTGAACGGCCTTGCTTTTGGCTCGGAGATCTTGCATAATCCCCTTTCTGCCGTTCTCACTCTTGGCCGGTGATTCTTTGCAACTGAGAATCTCGCATAAGCGAATCATACCATGCATATCAATCCTTCAAATAATATCAAGTGGAGCACCGCATCGCTTGGAAGTCTGTAGCGACACCCAAGTGTCGCAGAGTGCTGGAAAATTTCGGTCATCATCTCTTCTGAGTGCTTCCTTAGTTATGGGCGCGGTATGATCATTCTACATTTTGTGTCAATCGCGTACTCTTTCCACCAGCAACAGCTCGCGCCGCCACGCACGCGACACATCGTGACTGATTTTCTTTCGGTGAGGATTAGGAAATCAAGTCACAAACTTCTACAACTTTCTTTTCACAATGGCGTATTGAGAGTTTGAATTGTGCAACGTTGCGCCAACTATGGCTTAAAGGCAGCGTCTAGGCAAATCTGGACATGAAGGGTTCTGATGTGAAAAGTAATTTTGGGGCCCTAACTAAGACACTGCCCAAGCGGGAGCTCAAATGGTGAACCCACAGGTGAGATATTCTCCTCCAAACTGGACCCCGGGATCGTATTCGCATGGATTCATGGCGCGACACGCGTGGTCCTCGCGCGAAACTGATGTGTCGCGCCATGAATCCATGCGAATACGATCCCGGGGTCCAGTTTGGAGGCGAATATCTCAACTGTGAGCTCACCATTTGAGCTGCCGCTTGGGCAGTGTTTTGGTTAGGGTTCCGAGATTACCCTCCAAGTGAGATCCCCATAGGCCCAGATTTGCCTGGACGCTGCCTTTAAGGCCTAAGGCATACCTCACGCGATTTCAGTCCCTGCGCGATCTGGCACAACAGTGACACTTCGTAATTCGCCGTTAATGCGCTGTGCGCTGCCTTTGCTCAAAACTTGCTCTGTTTGCAACAACTTACACAAGCTACCCAAATATGCGTCCGAGAAGTGCGCATGATAAATTGATTGAAATCTGGCAAATCGCCAAGTCGTGTGAAAGTGGCGATTCGGCGGAATCGCGTGAGGTATGCCTTAGGCCTAAGGCATACCTCACGCGATTTTAGTCGCTGCGCGATCTGGCGCTACAACAACTCTTCATAACTGGTCGTAAATGTACTTTGCTTGGGCCAAAATTGGTGTATTTGCTACGACTTACGGAATCCATGCGCCCATGCAGGGGAGACCCACACATGGTTAATCTATAGACATCTCGCAAATCGCGTGGATGTGGCGATTTCGCGAAATCGCGGGAGGTATGCCTTAGGCCTATGGCGCCTCTTCGCAAGCGTTCGCGCTGCTTGACTTCAGCTATGCTCAGTTCCTGCTGGCTGAGATTAATCACTAATAATGTTTTAGTTTTATCATCGGTGACGATGATGTCTACTCACGGCGGGCGAGGCGCGGTCCCGTATGTCGTTTTGGTGGCTTTTCCCCCCTCAGTTGTTACTCTACATTGGCGATAACCGCCCCCATAAACCTCTCGCTCAATAACTGTTTGTCCGCCTCGAATAATCCACTGAACCACCAAAAGTACATAAGTTTAACTCGGGTACAATTACCCAAGAGTCTCGCACAGTATAACCCAATAAGTTTGATGATATAAAAGCCAACAAATGCAAAGACAAAGCAATTTTATGAAGAATCATTTTCTCTGTCAGTAATCCTATAAATTTATATATTATAATATTTTTAATTTAGAGACTGAGGACGCTGCGCGCACGCATCGCAACGAGTTTGAATTTGTTCTTTGCGCATTTTAAATGGTGAAACGCTAGCAGTAAAAGCAAAATGGTGTGATAATCGTATGCTCATGCTTTTTCGAGTCTCAAGTGATGAATAATGTATCAAGCTTAACGTCATATGCGGTTTTCCGCGAATAGGTCTTTTGACATCCACCAAGATTTTTTGGAATTTTCAAACCCACCCCTTATTTTGCAAAGTTAAGTACATCCGTGTCCTTGCTCCCTGGTATGGTTTCGAAGTACTTTTCGCAAAGCCCCATGACTGTTGCGAAATGCAGCGAGGAAACTTGTGCAATGCAATTTCGAAATTCCGCAATCCTATTGTGTGAGTTCGACATCTGTCATGCGTTCTCGTTTGTTTGTCCCGAATTTCATATCAAAACAGTATCTGTTTCCCTTTTTGTGACGGATCATTTGCTTAGCAAACAATTAGACATATCTAAACATGTTCTGATTATGAGTTGTCATGCGCTAATTATCGAAATGCTCATCCGCTAGCATTCAGATTTCATAACAATCATTATTTCAAAACGATTATAAGGCTAATTTCGCGTCGGCTCGACCATTCATGTTCCAGTCATTTCGCCGACAGGTTTCTGTGTTCAGAGGGTCACTCGCTCTTTCTTAGCTCCTACGATTTATTCCTGTTTTGCTTTTGATAGCTTGTTCAATGACAGTTCTAAGTCAATGTAAAATTTGCACAATGCTTCTTGAAGATGGTTTGATATCAGTGGTGTGTATACACTTGTTTGATCCGCGTTGGATCCGGATCACATACGACAAGTCGGAGTACAGACCCATTACTATGCTAAATCGCTTGCGTGCAACACAGTCAGTTTAGACTTCGAATATACCTCGCGCGATTTCTTCAAAATCGCAGCAGTACGCGATCTGGCAATTTGCCAGATGTCCGAATCTACCGCATGTGGAATTTAAGTGCGTAGCTTTTGTAAGCTTGTGTGTACATGCCAAATTTTGCTCACGGAGTATGCGTTTACGGAAGATTCTGAACAATCGCAGCAATTAAAAAATCACGCGGCCACGAGGTATGACCGATTCCTTAGACGTATCCTTAGCTATCTCGTGACTATCGTGTCAACACTTTTCGCTAATATATCATTCTTAGAGATTTTAGGACTGTGCAAAGAGTCAGTATTTAGCGTAACTTCATAAAAATGGTCACGGTAGGTGGTGAACATCAACTTTTTTCTCAGCAGTTTGATTTATCTCATTTCGAAGTGATAAATTTCTCACTGTTGAGTCGTTACGCTTATGAAAAGACTAGCTGGCTTGCCCGGCTCCGCCGGGCCTGCCAGCTAGACCCGTGTACGTATGTTCCAAATAGAAAATTCCATTTCTGAACCGATCCGGACCAAACTTTGCA